AATAATAATAATATTTCAAAAGTACTCCCTAAACTATTGAAGTCTTATTTAATTATTTTAATTTATAGTTTTTTATATATTAAACTAGGATTAATAGAAGATAAGTCTGATAGTTTATAAATTTAATCTCTTATAATTTTATTATTATATATAAAACAGAAAAGTTAAATTTAATAAATAAATTCTCTAGAATATTTTCAGAATTCTAAATAAAACCTGCTTTATAAAAAAAATTATTAACTTTAATTTAAAAATAATTTATAGATATTATATTTCTGATAATAAAAAATTTAATTAAAAAGAAATTCTAGTTTAAATCTTAAGATATACAGGATTATCCTGGGTTTAATATCTGTATTATATTAAATTTAAAGAATTCTAATAATCAAGCTGGTATAGAGACAGCTAACTAAATTATTTAAAAAAATTTATTTTAAAAAAGATTTATTTTTTAATCTATAGTATTATAAATATATACTACAGAAATTCTGTACTCAGATATATATAATTCTAAATTTCAAGAAATAATCTTATATTTATAGAATAAAGATCTAGAAATATAATAATAAAAAGCTGTTATTTTACAAAGATAACTAGACTGAAAGTATTAGATAATTAAAATTACAGATTATTTATATTTTAAAGATTATTATTATATTCTTTTATCTGAAATATTATATTAAATATTTATTTATTTATATTATAATAATTTATTAATAGAATATTTTAAAAAAACATAAATAAAAGTACTGCTATAAAGAAAGTTCTATTAAAATAGATTATATTATAATATAACTGAATATATCTGAACTTATTTAATATATTAAGATAATATTACTTTAAAGTATTAGTTATATAGTAATTTTAAAATATTACTAATTCTATCTTATTTCTTTATTAAATTAGTAATAGATTTCATCACGGAATTACTTTTAATTATTTAATATAAAAGAACTATTAACGCTATTCTTATTATTAATAATTAATTTTTGAAATATTATCTTTTTTTTATTATTTTATTAATAATAAGTACTCCAGACCTTACTGAATTCTTTTATAAATAAATTAAATTAATCTTCAGATCTTTTATAAATATTATATTTAATTAAAAATCAATCTTCATAAGTAAATTTTAGTTAAATTTAATTTATAATATTTATATAATCTTAAAGTTTTTAACAGTATTCTACTTATAAACTAATAATTAAACAGAATAGATGAATCAGACCCTTGAATATTATCTTTAATATTATTTTAATTAATTTAATATTAATTAGCCTGTTATATTACTAATAACTTAATTTATTTATAATAATATAAATAATATAACTATAGGCTTATCTTCTTATAATATTATATATAATTATTTACCAGATTTTTATCTAAAAATCAAGAATAATTCTTAATAATAAAAGATTCTGGCTATACAGAATAAAATCAAGAAGCTTAATAAAATAAGAAAATAATTATAAAAAATATAGTAAATAACTATAAAAAAATAAAAAAAAATATTATAATAAACACAGAAGACTATTCTTCTTTAAGAAAAAAAATCTAGTAAAGTTATTAATCTAAAATCTATAATTTAAAAAATTAAGAAAGTTAGCTCTGAAATTCATAGAATCTTTTTAAATTTTTAAATATATTAGATTCCAGGCATATCGCTTATATTTATCTGAGAAATATAGATAAATTTATAATATATTTTATATTTCTTTACTAGAACTGTAAAATATTAATTAAAGCTATAAAGAACTGCTCCTAATACTAAAGCTAAATAATAAAGATAAATAAAAGATTAAGAAAATTAAAGATTATTAATATTATAATAACTAAGATTACTACTTAATTAAGTAGAAAAGCTGGCTAAATAAATATAATTAATAAATCTCTAGTACAGATATATTTAATATATCTGAATTTATCAAGAATTATTAAAAAAAATATAAAAAACTGTACACAGCCAGGATATAATATTAAAATATTAAAGAATAATTATAATTATGTTATTTATTATTCTTAAATCTATTTAATTATATTAAACTTCATATATTCTTATTAACTATAACTGAATATATTAAAAAATATATTAAAAAATTCTTTTATTATAAAACAATAGACAGTATCTATATATATCCAGCCAGTATTTTTTTTAATATATTCTTAAATTACTATTAGAATCTAAGTACTTATTATAAATCCAGAATATAAATAAAAAAGAAAATCTTAAGATAAAAAACTTAAAAATCTATATTTAATTCTTTATTATTATTCTTATTATCTGAGTTCTTTATAGCTTATATATTAAGATACTAGATGTATACTGCAGTCTTAATAATATTAATAAAATTATAAAAAGCTAAAATTTAATTAATATAATTAATATCATTAAAAAAAATATAAAAATAATTTTATTTTATATTATTACTGTATCTCAACAGGAATATTCAAGCTGGAATAAAGAATTAATTAAATTAAAAAAGAATAATATAATATAAGAAACTTACTGTACTCAGCAGTATATTCTTATAATATTCTGAATAATCAGTTATTATATTCTATATATTCTTATTAAAATTTTATAATTTATATATTTAGTAATCTTAAAAGTTTTTTATATTAAATTTACAGGCATAAGCTTTTTCTATATTATTGAATATAATAAATAAGATAAGAACTTTTTTTTTATTATTAATTTTATACTTTTATTCTAATATTTCTACTTTAATATATTAACTACTTATTTAATAATTATTATTAAATTATAAGTATTATCCAGAATTTTTATTATTATCTAAGTATATTAGTTAACAGTCTTTTAATTAATTATATAAAATATATAGATTCATATAATTTCTTAATATCAGAATAGAAGTAATACAAGATAAAAACTTATATATTTATAAAACAGCTAATATTATAAACCGCATCTTTAATCAGATTAAAATTATTATTAATATATCAGAGATAATACATGCAGAAATTATAATAAGTCTTAATAAATATATATTATATCAAGCAGCAGATTTCTCTAGGCATCTTAGTTAAAAGATAATTGAAACTAATAATAATAAAAAGATATTAATAAAAATAAGATTATAATTATAAAATATCAACAGAAACAAAAGGAAACGTAATAGTAAAATAAATAATATAATAAATAAAAGAAAACAACGGGATACAGAAAAAAAATAAGATAAAGAGAAAGAAGAGATAATATATAAGAAAAGTTCTTATTTATATTACAAGGTAAGTAAATGGTATAGATTCCAGTATAAACCAGATTAATATTATTAATATATATACAGACTCTGATATATCTCATATTAATATTATACTAGTTCTACTAGTCTTTTATTCTAGTTATCCTGCTATTTAATAACTTTCTGCTACTATTATCTTATCAGATAATTATAAGATTATTTCTATATATACTAATCCAGGCGGTTCGGCTCAGTAAAAAAGATATTATTTATAATAAAACAGATTAGTAAACCGGTGACCACAGCTAAAGATATTAGAATAATATATTAAAGTAATCATAAGAGTTATGAGATTATTAATAGTGGTTCTATATTTTATCAATATCTAAAAAATATTGATTCTTCTGTAAGAGGCTACTGATCTCTCAAGGATCAGTCTATTCTGTAGATATAGGCTATCTTTATCATTAATATCCAATTCCATTGCGATTGGTGGTTGATTCCTTACCTAGTCAACAGGCTTTCTACCCTGACAAGTAGATCCTATCACAATTATAGAATAAGTTTTTATTAAAAAACTTAATTATCTAGTCTTATAGCTGCTTGCTGATTAATTATTATATATAAAATCTCAGATATTTTAAGATCTTTATTTAAATACTAGCTATTCCTTCTTATCCAACAGGCGATGTACTCTTGGAACCAAGGGGCAACCCCTAACAATAAAGCCCTGAAATATTTTATAAGCAATTATTATTTTCGAGAAAATAACAACCAAATATTAACTTTCTTTTATTTATACCTGTAATATATGTAAGGAAGTAATCCTTATAAGGATAGTTATCCACCTCCTCCCAGGGTGTACCTGAGTATATAGGGGATTCTAGGGGTCCGCAGAGGTATCTGCGGGTAATGATGGCCTTATGGTCTTGTTTTGAACTTTTGCCCCTAGAAGAGTCCCTTACAGCTGCCCTGCTCTAATTACAGGAATTTAGAATGGTTTACATAGTTCGCAGACATTGAATATAACTTAATGATAGTAATAAACAAATTTACTAAATTTCCAAATCATTTTATACTCGTTAGACGTTTTTATTTTTTGAACTTTATATCTTTTCAAGATTTATACTCATTCCTTTTCCTGCTTGGATAATATATTCACACAGGTCCATGTGCTCAAAGCAAGAATCCGGAAACTCCTCATATTTAGTATTCACTGCAAGCTTACAAGTGATGCGCGTTCTGAGTCAACAAACTCAGAATTCTAGTCTTTAACCGGATAGCCGAGTGGTTAGTAGTTCCGGACGGTTCACTCCTGAAGCGCACCAGGCGCTAGCGGATCGTGACACTCAGCTTCAGTTGAGTCCCACTTATGTGGGCCCTTGATGCATACATTGTCCAATTAAGTTGATGCTCATGGGTGATTACAGCACTAGTACCTTTGGCTCATCAACGCATTACAAGTCAATGAGGTCATAAGTTCACCATACAAACAATGTATTCCTGGTCACATGCTTCTAGTGATTGACACCTATATAGTACAATGATACGGCTGGTACTCCGTACACATTTGCATATAAAGACTGACCCCACCCCTGCGAGTGTTGTACAAGTAGTACAAAGTGCCTTTTTGTCCAATGCCTAATTACAATATCTTTAGTCTCAAACAGTAACATAATACCTATTTCCACATCACACATTACTGTCTAACAAACCAATCGCTTTATATCCACTGGAAACCGTGGGCCGCTAAAGTAGGTATCGGGCTTGTAATAGGCAAGCCCCGGGCACTTTATGTTAACTATTCATTAAAGTCTACAGACATATTGAATAGAGCCAATCTCTTATATCGAGCAAGGTATGTATATTAATGACTTGCATTCGCTCGATGAAAATCACTGATTATGTGCCTAGTTTCCTCGATCAAAAGAACGCAGAAAGTCCACCTCTATGAAAAGTAAGCATCTCTCTTAAGAGCTATATTTGGTGTGCGCATCATTGGATGCACACCCAAAAGCTAGGCTTGGTTGTATTTCGCACTCAATAGTTAACTCCCTAGTGACGCGGTCTCACAAAACCAACGATCCAGATCATTCAGCATTGCACGAAGGGGGAGCTCTAGGTCAAGAGAGTCTTCCCCGCTATTTTGCCAAGTCAGGACCAGTGGATGCTGATCCCCGGAAGACAAAGAAAGATGGAGGCGGAAAACGAAACTGGTTAGTTGAGTAGTCTGGCGTCTCTCTCCATCATGGCCCCTAGGAATATCCAGTGACCCTCCTCCAGGGGCCGCTCTGGCGATGAAGTGCACGACTATGGCTACAAGTTTACAAACACACGACGTCACTCAAACAGTAGCGCCCAGGGAATTGCGGACTTCAAGACAAAGTTTGAAGCCGTTGAACCAGAGCCAGTCTTTGAAGAGACCGTGCATGGGCCCGATGCCTTTCCCGCGGATGACGACATGGTAAGGAAAGTTGATAGCATCAACAGTGATACCACTGAAGGTAGTGAAGTCCCTTCGAACAAGCCATAGCTATATCAGGCGAGGTAGCCAGGGATCAAAATGAGGATTCTTCAAGAGTGATCCTGCACAGACACGGTAAACCAGCAAGAGCTTTGTATCACAAAGGTGACGATCTTCTGTTTATCAAAGACCCCTGCTAGGAAATATGATGAGATAGTTTGACTGCGTGTGCAATTCAGGTGCCTTGCTCTAATTCAAGAAATCATTAAATGTGGATAAGAAGACGCCGCAACCTCGCCCTAAACTACGGAAGGCAACTATCAGACAATTGCATTGCTAGAAGATACTGAAAACATGTCAGCGCCAGGAAAGGATTACTAAGAATGTATAAAAGGGCGGAACGGAAGAGAAGCATGTCTGCAACCAATTGAGCTCATTTATAGCGTGCAGGCACTAGTCAAGAACTCAGATATTGCTGAGTGTTGTTCCTAAAATCTTAGAGCCAACTCAGCTGTGCCTTCTCAGTTGATGAATCGTATTGCGGTTCACAATGCGCATTGCCATTCTTGTCATCTTCGGTGGAAACCCCAGAAGGCTCTTGACGCGTGGTCTTGGCTGAGTCAAAAAGGTTCTTGAACCAGAAATTAAGCTTTCCTTTTTCGATTTGTTGAAGTAGGATTTCGTTTTCCCTGGCGAGATCACGAGAGATGCGGGCACGCCGCTCAGGTGGAAAACGTGTTGTAATAAGATCAGCGTCAGAATCGCTTAGCAACACGTCGTGCGGGCCGTTAGGGACGTATATAGAAGGGTAGTTAGAATCTTCATCAAGGCCTGTGAACAGAGTTAGTAATATGCTTGGGGACATTCTCCACTAGTCAAGTTCATACCGTCCCTGAAGCACCAACAAAGGGTACGTGAGAGTGTTGTGGCATGAAGGAAACTTTCGGTGTCCATTCCCAATCCCTCAGCTGCCTCTTCCAATCTTTCCCAATTGTTATCTATCATGCATCTTCTCCACACCAATTTCTGTAGTGCTGCATGATATTGTGGATCTCGCTGGTCGTAAGAGAGTCGGATGATTCGCAAAGCTAGGTAGAATTGTTTCCCCACGATTTCATCCTGACCTTGTTCAGATACCTGGGATAGGTATATGTGCGTTAGCAGGTCTACTAACTCATCCGAGCTGAGAACTTGTCGAGTGACAATCTTGGCCAGAGCCTCGCTAAATATTTCATGCAATGAAGGCCTGTCCGCGGCTGTTGGGTTGCGAAATTGTTCAATCGCGATATCAATTTCCGCCTTCTGATCGATTGCATTGTGTAACGCGGGCGCGACATAGGCGAATATCACTTCTTGGACGGCATCAACCTCCGCAAAATCTTCCAAGCGTCTGACGTTCTTGCGAACGACTAGACTATCTGGCATTCGAGATTCCTCCCAGACCGCGAGATTTGCAAGCTTTGCTAGGGACAACTCAACACGATGACTCCATATATCTGATTCATGCTTCGTGGCAAGCTTCTCCAAGGATCGGGCAGCGCCCTCATAGTCATTCTCACCGATCACATCATTAATCCAGCCCAGCCGCAGATAAGCTGGGTGTTTCCGTAAGAACTGAGTGACGAAGGGCTGGAACTTTTTCATCGCAAAAAGTATTCCGGATTGGCCCATGGAAATCTGCCGGGAGAAAAAAGAATCGGCCCAAGACTCCCCGAATTTCTCAAAGTAAAAGGATATCTTTTGACTGAGTCGCTCAGACGCGTTCTCGTCAGCACCTGCATTTTTGTTTGGCGAATCTTGATGTGTCACAAGGCTCTTGGTTTGGTCCTGAAGCTCGATTATGAGCTCCACGAGCGCTCCCATATCTCGGAACTGTTCGGCAAGCATAATGGCATCATCTAGATGCCCTATTCCGGCCAACTTGAATAGCTGCCATTTCCGTTGCTTGATGTGAGCCTGTTCAGTCGCAATACTTTCGTCGATAAGTTTCTGACTCTCTTGGGACGAGAGCCAACGGACTCGTTCACAGTGCATGAGCCCTAAAATCTGAAGCTGCCTAGAACTATTTTTGGCAATCCTTCTCACAATTTGAGTTTCGGGTAGCTCAACTCCAATCGTTGTTTTCTGGATCCAAGCTCTGCAGCTATCAAGCTCCAGATCCAGCAGATGTCCAAATTCGATATAGCAATAGCGCTGAGAAGTCCAGAACTCCGAAAGACCAGTGTAGTCACTCGTCAATATGCCGTCCTCCAGATAGCCGTCGCCAATGCCATACCGGCTAGAATTCTCGTCTCGATAACGAAACGCAGTCTCCAGAACTGCTAGGGACAAGTCACTAGCCTCGAGTAGCTGCTCCGACATCCGTCGTCCCTGTTTTGCAGAGCTTCCCTTTTGAGGCTTGATGGCTTTGAAGATCCACGGCACGATATGTTCCATTTGGAAAGTATCATATAGAAACCAATGGCGCACTGGGTCGAAATCACCGGTCTGCTCTTCGATCTTCGTTTTGAACTTCTCGCTCATTAACCCGATTATGTGCGCCAGCAGTGTTGAGTTTTTGCTCGCACATTTCCTGGCTTCGTCTTCCAACTTCCACATAGCTCTTTGAGCAGCCAGTTTCTCCGCACTCCAAAGTAACTGCCACCAGACTTCTCGGCGGATGGTCTCATTCTGCTGTGTCAACAAGAGGGCGAGGTCGTCGAGTGCTTTCGCTCGCAGTTTCAAATTTTGATCCACGGAAATCCCATTCGATGGAATGAATTCCGATGCAGACCGCATCAATTCCTGGCATATTTCCAATGCAGCATTTTCCGTCTCGCTGATTGGGAATCCTATTCCGTCATCACCTGTAAGGTTCAGTGGGTTTTTGGTCATTGTGCCATAGAATATAGCCTGTTCGATTTTATGCTTCGCAGTGATGCGGCCATCATCAACGTTGCTCTTTGTTCTTTCACTCGGCAAAGCTGCAATACGAATGATACCGAAATCTCGAACCATGAGCAGGCATGCGGCTAATGAGCCCTCACCACTCTGGTTTTCACATCCGCTTCCTAAGATCTCGTAGCTCTCTCCAGAACGTAAAGGAATAATATCCTTGAATGCCCGCCCTTGCTGAGTTACGGAAACCGCATCCTGAGTAATAGTAGGGTGTTCGGAAATGGTCAATGATAGCAACACAATTGACTGCCCAACAACAATGAAAGCGGTATGCCCGGGACTTGGTACAAACAACCTGACACGCGGAAAGTCGAGATGGGTGCGTAGTCCATGAAAATCAATCGTATTAGTAGATAAGACTTGAACATCGTCCGAAAATCGCATTTGGACGACAAACATGTCCCGAACGGTGCCGGGGGCAGAATGTGAGACGGATGCCACAACCGCTGTTATCAGCGAGGAATTGGGCCCGTCACGAGCATTAGTGCTTTTGCAGTCGGCCAAGACAAAATCTAAAACCTTTAACCTATGATCATCGGCTTGACCAACGATAAGAGGCCCAAGTGTTTCACTCAAGAGATCATATACATCATGCTGATGTTTGAGCATGCTACCGTTGTTCCAGTGGGTATCCCAAATTTCGAAGAGACCTTGAGACGTAGCGATTACGACATCGCGTTGTCCACGCTGGTGGGATTCGCCCGCTCGAACTGCGGCAATGTCTTTTCTGTAAAAGCCACCCCCAAGAGCATTTCTCAAGCTTCCAAGTAAGCCTGGTCTACCGCCACCTGCGGGGCTTCTCAGGAACGAGACAGTTATTGCTGGCTTCCCTTGACAATCTCTGATGGTTATATGGGCAACCCTTCCAGTAGAAAATATAACAACGACACCAGATGGCTCGCTGTTTATGACGTCTGTAGCGTGCTCGCCCGAGAGCAAGCCAGGGATACAGCCTTGGATGCCAGAGTGCTTCTGCCTGGAGAAAGCTAAGGTTGCAGCACTTGATATGGTTTCCCAGTATATGATTTTTCCGGTATATGGCATGACCACCATCAACCCCGGAACACCACCTGCAACGGTAGATAAGAGCAACCCAAGGGGGGCAGTGTTACCAGGCTCTTTGCAGGACTCGGGTATTGCAAGGGTGAAAACATCTGCAGGAGAAGGCGATGGGACTGTGGTCGAATATGCCCAGACAATGGCATGCGATTTGGTTAAGGCTAAAGCATATCCATGACTAGTTCCAAATGAAGCTCTGAAAGGCCCTGCATGTCTGTGTTATTATAGTTGTGGCGGCGAAGGGGTCAGCAGTACTCGCCTGTTTGTAAACCAAGCACCTGGTCTGGCAAAGTGGGTAGCTGGGTGACGGTGTAGAACTCCGTTTTTGACTATGCATAAGCCTATGTCAGATGGGCAATCCAAGGATCTTGTAGACTGAATAGTAATCGAGAACCACTTACAAGCACCACTGCTCCTTCACCTTCATCCTCGCGCTTCTCAGGCCTTTTGACCGCTCGTATAGGAATATTTCTGTGGAAATGAGCAGTTTCTGAATTTGCGACGCCTTCCTTAGTTAAAGTTGACGGCTGGCGTTCCTGAAAGTCGAGCTTGGTATGATTGTTGTTCAAAATGTGAGACGTTAGTTCTAAGTCTTTTTGACGGAGATTGGATCTTTGTCTTTTCGCACTTGGAGGCTTTGGTGATTCGTCTGAGTTCGTACGCTGACGCCTCCGGGGGTTGCGCTGAGAAGCTGCGGATGAAAGCGTCTTAGGTACAAACATTTTTTAGGACCAGACACAAGCTAATTGCGTACAAAGAAGACCCTGTGTAGATTTCGTGGCCCAGAAGCGCGCATCTGAAAAGTAACCGTAACACGCCACAGTTGTGATGGAGAATGATTTGAAAATTTGTATGTAAACAATATATTATTTCAAATAGCGATATTGATAGGTACTAGGTATGGAGGTTAATTCACTCCGAAGGCGGTCAGCAGTTCTGATAGGATTCCAGACACCCATAGATACCTGCAGAGCCAAGTTCTCCTAGTTAAACAGAATCGCACTTACCTAATTAGTGATGTAAACAACCTTCAGTCCCTGTTTATAACTACTTGTTGGATAGTACTATATCTATTAAACACATGAAATATCAGAAAGGATTGTGATATTATGTAGACATTGTATTTTCCATCCCGTTCTTACATCCTGACACTAGTGCTATCGGTTTATCAGTCCAGTAATACATAGCCAGGTAATACATAGCCAGGTAATACATAGCCAGGTAATACATACCCATTAATCTACATACCCAGCGTTCAACAGCTCCGAAATCTTCAAGGTTAGTACAGAATCCCCCTATCACTGACACGTTCTGCGGCTGTCAGTACTCAATATCACGTGACTACACAAGAACACATTTGTTCGTGCTACGGCTACTGTTGCTGCACTTACATTTGAAGGCAGCGCGAATTCATCTGTAAGAAATATTGACATTTGCCGATGGCATCTGAAGGCTATGTCCTGCAATAACAGCAAGGGCATTTTTCTTCCTGAGGCCTACAAAACATGCTTGCATTATCACCGAAATCAAGACTATCTTTTCGCATAAAAGCACCCCGATACCATGCTCATTGTCGTACTCAGCTAAAACCTAGTTTCCAGCGAGATTATGCCAGCCCCATTACCGCAGAGACAGCCTTGCGCACTGCTCTCTTCTTTCCTGGTTTGCATACCCTGTATTTTGAACTCGCCTTTGTTCTGACGCTTTTACCGTTCAGGTCATGGTGTACAGCGTGTGGGAATGGCAAGTTCTTGGGTTGAGAGGTTCCCAAAAATATCCAACATATTCCTAGACGAAATGGATTCGATCCTGGGTTTCAAACTGTCTCACATCGTCTCCGAAGGACCAAATTCGGAGCTCGATAAAACCGAAAATTGTCAGCCGGCTATAATGGCAACATCGATACTAATCCTTCGAATACTTGAAGAGGAGTTCGGCTTCATGACGACCTCACGAGTGGATGCCACACTTGGACATAGCTTGGGGGAGTTCTCAGCACTCGTTGCTGGAGGTTATCTCGATTTTAGCGATGCACTGAAGTTGGTGAGACGGCGTGCAGAGATAATGTCCGAATGCACGCGAGCTGCTATCAAGAGATCAGGCGATGAATATGGCATGATAGCACTTGTCTGTGAGCCCGACCACATGAGTGAATTGCTTTCTACCATTTACGAATTCATTGGACTTGGCCCATCGAGTCTAAAAGATGATTCGAGCCAATGGTACAAGGCATTCCAACAAGTCATGGTGGCAAATATCAATTCAAGAAATCAGATTGTACTGAGCGGCAACATTGCAAAAATAAGAGCTCTGCTTATCCAGCTTCGTCAATTTGGAGGACACGATCCCCGTGCGGTGAGACTGAGATGCGAAAGTCCCTTTCACAGTCCCATTATGATACCAGCAGCCAACTACATGAAGTGTGCCCTTGAACATATGAATATCAATTTCCCAGCACGAATGCCATGTATCTCCAACGTCTCGGGCTTACCGTTCAATTCCAAGGAAGAACTCAGGTTTCTATTATCACAGCAGTGTGTCGATACGGTAAAATGGTGGGACAGTATTCGATACCTAGATCAGACGCATGCAGTAACACGCTGGATTGGCATTGGACCTGGGAAAGTCGGTAGAAATCTGGTTGGGAAAGAGGTCGGTAAGGTTATGGTGAAAGGCGGCGGTGTTTGGTCTATATCTGACCCCTCGGAGATTGCAAATGTCCTTTCTGCGTTGGACAAGACTGAGAGTGACCCTCCACATGATCGAAACGGATGACTCGGGCGAGATGCTTTGCCCCACAAGCTGTGTCTTCACTATATACCCATCCCATGATGACCAGATTGGTCAAATCGACTTGACTCCTCAATCCTCTTATCACGTATTATACACTTATAATAGTACACAACGTAGAGTTATACAAAGCACTGGGTAAACATTGGATATTATCAACTGATACTTTGCGATCGACAGATGTCTCCTACGAATGCCGTACATCAGAGAATGCTATACCGAATCCTGTGCGTGTTACACCCATGATTATTGGAGGATACCAAGGGTGGGAGTCATCAAAAGTACAAGTGATCTTCAAAATCGAGATTCTTCGAAGATAGCGTGTAGAGCGGTAGGTTGTTTGCCACATAGCATGGGTTCATGGTTTTTTAAAGGGAGGCTACAGTCGGAACCCATGAGTTTCCAATTCGGTTGACCTCGTTAATGAACCTCTGATCTGTGATCTGCGAACTGCAAGATGACACGGCTTTCGCTGTGGCCATGTGCTCGTCCGGTCGATAAAACGGATTCTGTAGCAATTGCACATATGCTGTTTGGAGAGTTCGGAAAACCTGTAGGTGGGCACCATTAGTGACTGAAGCCCAGGATCTTGTGTATTGTTCAACATGTAGAACTTCGAATGCAGGAGAAAAACACAAACGTACTGCTTTTAGGTCAAATTCCCTTAACCCCGACTTGGTGGAACCTTTAGGTCCTTCATCACTGATGGGCTGTCCAATCAAGTCAACTATAACTAGGAATTTTACCCCCGTAGTAGAAAGCCAGCCATATGCTGCAAGTCTCTCGTCCACAGCCTGCAAAAGACCAAGATCTTGGTCAATTGACGTCTGTTTGCGGCGTATTTCAAAGATATCAAGGCAGGAATTCAATATAAGAGAGAACTCAATAGTGGACTCCACATAGGGAGGGAACAGCGACACGTGGAGTGGATTATCCTGATTCCTACATTAAGACTGGCGCAGCAGATGAAGGATATGAAGACTCACAGCTTTCCCAATGACGCCGATACAGGCAATCTTAGGCAAAGCCATAGCTCCAGGTCAGTTATGGCCTGCTGAAGAAATCAATCCCACTGAATTCAGATAAAAACCATCAATTTCATCGTTCTTGGGACGCGAGATCTCCTGGCTTCTGTGTTTCGGAGAAGGTAGGCGCTGAGCCAGTTATGTAAATGATACCTAACCCACCCATGAACAACCCCATACTACTTCACTAACGTAATCCACATGCGGATCAGCCACATGTTCGAGCCACCTCTTTAGATATTCTTCACTGGCAGAAGAGATGCATTGATTGATTCATACGCTTGAACCATCATTCAAATTCAAAGCTTAACAACATTTTTCTTTTCTTTTTCGTTTTTCTTTTTCACTTCAAAGAAAAGAGTATAATAATATAGTAATTAAAACTTTGATCAATTGCGGGACCCCCCCCCCCCCCCAATTATTACACTCTTAAGGACAGGAAAAGTTTGACCCAGCATATCTTCGTATTGACTACACAGTACGTATAATTTGGAATTCGGTCTGGTTAAGTCTTCGAAGTTCGAACGTAGGATGGTTATTAATTGTAGCTGTTCCACTTGTGGATTCCCTTATCTGTTGACTTCATACATCTTCGGAATTTCATGGTTACCGTTCAAAGCCATTGCCAACATCTTGATTTTATGAGTGCTCGCTGCGTTGTCCGACCTTGTTCTATATGATATCGACTTCAAAGAGAGCCACATTGTGAACATCCTATTCAGATACGCCCGTTTTAGTAAGGCATCATCTTTCATACAGCCCAGGCTGCTAGGACGCCTATCAATAGTGTGGAACTATTGGTGTTTCTGTTACGGGATGCTCTTCACCTGCATCCATCTATCTACAGTACTTTGCTCCACGCAGCGATGAGATCCATGTCGCTGTCCAGATAAGGAGGGATTCGAATACCGAGCTTTGATGACTCCAGCCAATGAAGCTCTTTAGAATCTAACTTACACTAGCACAATGTTAGCCGCTTGTCCGTGGCTCACGTGTCAATACGGTATTATACACAGAGTAAATGCGAGACACTTGGATTCAACGAACTGAATTAGGTTTCGTTACAGTAACTTACAGAAATTGCGTTCCATTGGTACCAATAGTGCAGAATGATACTCTTAATTTGAGCCTCGACCATCCTGATAATATCTTGCCACCATTGACAGACTGGACTACAAGCCTCCACTCTTCTGACAGTTCATACGGGTTTTGTACGCAAAGTCGCTTCTTTTTATCTCTGTGCACATTGTTACTGGGAGCGATACAGCCATGTTGCCTCTCACCGGTCGCGCCATTCCAGGCGCCATCCCAAGCGCTCTTCATGGTATGTGTTCTCCAATTGTTACTACTAAATTGCTAAACTCATGTAGTGCGACCGCGTATCACATCTTGCCATTTCCGAATTCAGCCAGTTTCGTTCCTTTCGACCTCTTCAATTAAGTCGGCAACAGCAATCGAACAGCGGGGACAGTCTGGCCAAGCGCTCACTGCTTCTGGAAAGGTGCGGAAAGAGGTGCCCTTACCGAGCCAGGAGAAAAAGGAGGGTGCTATGCAATATGTCCTGTTTGTTGCCTGAGACGCATGAGATGGGTACTTTATACTGATTCATGTGTAGTACCACGCTTGACCAAGTCGCTAATTGGGCCCGCCAAAGTTCTTTGTGGCCCATGACCTTTGGTCTCGCCTGCTGTGCAGTTGAGATGATGCATCTTTCGACCCCCAGATATGATCAGGATCGTCTTGGAATCATCTTCAGAGCATCACCTCGGCAATCGGATGTGATGATCGTGGCAGGCACATTGACAAATAAGATGGCTCCCGCTCTCAGACAGGTGTACGACCAAATGCCTGACCCTCGTTGGGTCGTCAGTATGGGAAGTTGTGCAAATGGTGGTGGTTATTATCATTACAGTTATTCTGTTGTTCGCGGATGCGATAGAATCGTACCCGTGGATGTCTATGTTCCCGGATGTTTGTATACCCTTTACCAATCCTACAATGACGTCGGCTAATGGGAACAACTTAAGGTCCGCCCACCTCCGAAGCATTGATGTACGGAATCTTTCAACTTCAAAAGAAGATGCGGCACACAAGGATCACCCGCATGTGGTACCGCCGTTAAGCTCAACTTGGAATTACTTCCTCCCTATGTTACTTAAGGGTTGGAACGGACAGGTTCGGACGTAGACTTTATAAGAAGTCCTATCCTGGAAATCAAGTATGTGCTCTCGTGCATTACCGAACACTACCGGCGCGCAATTGATAGGGGGAGGGATAAAAGGGAAGTGGAGGCTTGACTTTCAACAGGCATACCAGGTGTGTCATGTTCATGGTTGAGCAAGGAAACCCGGCCAACATGTATTGTATGCAATAACTGCAAGCCACTTTCCTAGGTTAGAACGGGATTAGGGACTTGGCTGCAAATTCACACTGATATTCCGCGCACTTGTACGGCTCACACTCAAATGTCTCATATCTAGACTTCATCGTGTCGTAGTGTTAGAATATTTCAACAGATCGAGACATTACCACTGTTTGCATGCTTAGTATGCAACTAATTGCTAGACTGCTTCTTCGCCTGTTCAAATATACCTAGAGGCTGCAAGGTGAAGGACTACTACGACAAGTTTCTTATCATCAATATTAGGGACACGGATTTCTGCCATGCTGATACTTGAAAGGAGTTCGATTCACCAGTGACAATGGAATTGGCGTTTCTAGTCGTGTTAACTTTCCGCGGGGCTCATATAAAGTAAAGTATGCCCACGATCCTTGTATCGCAAGTCATCAATAGCGGTAGTATCTCTCCGACTAGAGGGAATAAATTATTACGGGCCTTTCTGCAGACTTACATACGCTCGGCAGGGCTTTTCTTGTTCGGGTCATGTTTCGCAAACAGTAACTTCGCGCATGTTTCAGGCCATGATTGGCACCTGCTAGAGGTCGGTAAGCATTCTCTTAATGCACCAAACCAACAATGAGTAGAAATCCTCGACTTTATCAGTGTGAGACAGAATACCCATCATCTATATTGATATACACACCTTGTATGCCCACGTTTGTCTGCTATATGAGGAGATCTGCCATGCGACACGCCATCCATCACAAAAAGCATTTTGTAGTGAGACGGCCAAAGGAAATGGCCATGGCCCGAGCTTGCCTTCTTTCCAGCGTCCCCACTTTTATGACCCAAAGTAATTGATTATCTTAGTTCCCCTTTCACTTTCATTAACTTTTTTTTTTTCCCGACTTTCGGCTTCCGCAAGCCATTATTTGAAGTGTCCACCAGTAGCTCAAAATATCAGACTGATCTCTCTGCACCTACCATCTAAAGCTTTCGCATGTTTTCCTTACCTCACTTTCCATCTCTTTTTATTTGATACAGCTGTCTCATCTCAGGCGTGTACCACGCCATGAAGAACCTCGCTCCCGATCCATCTGTGGCTCTTCCTGAAGTCGAAACTCATGAACCAATTTCTTCATTCAATTCAGGATTGACGACTCCTTGGATTTTCCTCCAACCCACGACGGAGTTGAAAACTACTATCACCGGCTCTGTGAAGTACTATTTAGATTCGTTAGCCTCGTCGGTCGGCGATTCCCAATGTGCGCGCCAACGCAGGAATAGAAAGCGCAAAAGATCCGAAGCTGAGGAAGATTCTACAAACCAGGTCCTACAGCTCAAGCAACTCTATGTCGACGGCTTCACTTCTGACCAGATATGGCAACAAGCCTTGAGAATTCTTGATTCTTCCGGTGGTGAAATCGAGCGGGATTTTACTTGGTGGTCTGCAGTGGCCAAGCCACACGAGCGGTCCCTGACCTCAACTTATAATGTGGCACTTGACGACACCGACTTCGAGGGCAGCAACGTGGACTCTCAGTCAGAGGCCGATCTCACCCAATCGAGTATCGATAATGACGAGGACGACCTTAGTTCAGTACACGCTCACTCTCAAACCTCCCACAATGATTCGGACGTCGAAGAAGACATTGAGAAATTATCCGACAACAATCTCGGAAGCGATATCGACGACGGTGAACAAGAAACGTATGTGGAGGATCCTTTTGGCCTGAATGATGGGTTCTTTTCGATAGATGATTTCAACAAGCAATCGGAACTACTCGAAAGACAGGACGTTAGTGGCGGCCCAGGCAACGATTCTGAGAGCGAGGATGATGAAATCGATTGGCACGCAAATCCTTTGACTACAGCAGGGTCAATGTCTCTACCGAAGAGAGACATGCCACAGGAGCACTCTGACGGGAATGATGGCGATGATATTTCCGACAGCGAAGAGGAAGGACCAACATTTGGTGATGCAGGCTTTGAGGACGATTCCGATATGGACGCAGATGATGTCTATGCGGCAAATTCTGGAGGCGAAGGTTGGATGAACACCAGCGACATAAAGTATTCTGACTTCTTCGCTCCACCTCCACGTAAAGTTACACGCAAAAAGACTCGCTCCCTTCCTAAAACTCAGCCCGACCTTTCCATTACCAACGACGACGTTGATCGTGCCATGGCTGATGTTCGCCGTGATCTTTTTGAAGATGAGCTTTCCGGTGAAGATAGTGATGAACACGAAGTAACGCGGGGATCTCAGAACAATTCCTCTAGTCATGAAAAACAGCGTGCTCGCATTGCTGATGAGATTCGCCGCTTGGAGGCTGCCAACGTTGCCAAGAAGGATTGGATGCTAGCTGGTGAAGCCAGGGCTGTCGAAAGGCCTGTAAACTCACTTATTGAGGAAGACCTGGATTTCGAAAGGATCGGAAAGCCCGTGCCAGTCGTTACGGCAGAGTTGTCAGAGGATATTGAAGAGCTTGTCAAGCGTCGCATCCTTGCCAAACAATTTGACGAAGTAATACGTCGGCGCCCTGGTGTTTCCGACGCTCAGCGCGCGCGGGGAGTTCGTCCTGAACTGGAAGACACCAAACCCCAGCAAAGCCTTGCTGAATTATATGAGGCTGACCATCTTCGTGCTACCGATCCAAACTTCGTTGACCCTAAAAATCAGAAGTTGATCCGTGAGCATGCTACTGTAACAAGTTTATGGAAAGAGATCAGCTCTCAACTAGACACGCTCTCGAACTGGCATTACAAGCCCAAGGCTCCGCAGGCAAGCATCAATGTTGTCACCGATGTGGCAACAATTACTATGGAGGATGCTCAGCCGACAGCTAGCAACGCTGTAACTGCGACAGCAACCCTCGCGCCGCAGGAGATCTACGCACCTGGTGACGATAACAAGGTCGCTGGTGAAATGATCTTGAAGAATGGAACGGCAATCGCCAAAGAGGAGATGACCAGGGAACAAAAGGCTAGGTTGCGTCGAGAGCACAAAAAGCAAAACGCCAGCACCGCAAAATCTCAGAAGACAGGGAAAGCGGCTGAAAATCAGCAGCTCATTTCGGACTTGAAGAAGGGTGGAGTCAAATTGATTGGGAAGCAGGGCGAAGTGACAAATATCAATGGCGGTAAAAATAAAGAAGCCGTGAAGGAAGGTGGCCATGTGCTCAAGCTTTAGATTTCAGGGCGGTTACAAATTGTATCTATGTACCAAAGACAAGCGTATTTCGATATATTCGCACATGACTTTCCCTAGTAGTTTTAGTTTTAATTTGTAGCTAGACCTTCCTAGACATCCCTCTTGTCCGACTTCAACCGTATCTGGTAGAGGAAAATGTTCTCGCGCCGGTATGTCTCCGCATCAGGGTCATCCCGGATTTCGTCCACATCAAACATCTTCCTTGCATGTTTCATGAAACGGAGGTCTGCTCTTCTACGCCTCTTAAAGCAGAAGTAACAGACAGAGTCTGGACCAAGAAGATCATTCAAGGTCGAGATTAGTAGCGGGAAGGCGGGCTCAAAGTAAACACAGTCAGCGGCAAGGATAATTGCGGGATGCTTTGGGATGCAGTCTGGGAGGGAGTCTCCCCAGTTTAGTACTGTAGCTTCGACTGTAGAAGAAAGATTGTTGAGCTTGATATTCGTTTTCATCAGGGGCAACATGGGAGCTTGATCCGTAATGTAAATTCGTGGCACCTCAGGGTGACATTTGCGTGCAAGCGCAAGGCCAACGAGACCGCCGCCGGCTCCAAGTTCAACTCTAATTAACAATTAGCAGGGGTCAATTACCCGCATACCAGGCACAAGTCGGACAGGTTGCAGGTGAGGACAAAACTGGGTCATAGGGCAACGGACATTGTTTTACCGAGAAAGCTAGATTGATGTTGGCGTAGCAAGTACTTTGACAGGACCATCCCCGCTGGCCATAGCTGGCCTCCACACCCTTCCTTTAGATCTTCCTGGAGAAGTAGAGGGTTCGATAACATCCCATCAAAGGAGATGGTGCTCTGACTGGCGGGCTTAAAATCCCTAACCGGGATCAACGATTCATCGATGTCTAATGAATCGTTCATGTCGATTGCAGCTGGCATTGAACCGGGAACTTCCATTTAATATGATGATGGTCTGTTACAGCACACAGCGTTAACCAACACTTGATGCCGAAGTATAAAATGAAGCAACTTTGGACGTTTGAAGAGTAACTCAGATGGAAGCACACTTAGTTATAATGAACTTGTTATTTTCTTTGGGTCGAACTGGGAGGTACGGAATCGTTAGTTCTAGTCTCCCTCAATTTTTTTCCCCGCCCTACTTTGCCCCATCGGTTTTCTACCTAATGTCTGGAATCACCCATATAAGTACGAGTTGTCACACTTTTACAATGTACCAGGGGAATTGACCACCATTGGTGAGGTTGAATAACAAGTCCGCCTTTGGTGAAGAAAAGTTACCAAGGAACCTATATAGCTGGTATCAATAGGGGAAAAAGGGGCAACAATAAATTCTGAGTAGAACCGTAAGGGGGGAAGGGAGAAAAAGAGGAAGACGTGGGAAATAATTGACAGAGCAGTGGGCAGCAGGCGTGTTTAGCAACGCCCGAAACATGATAACTAACTTAGTCACAGTATTGTTCTTGTCTGATAGTAAGCGTACTTGAGAAATAATTATACAATGTATAATAGACTGAAGGCGCATCCTAGAACTCATGGCCAACAACACGCAGATATGGATGTAAAATGTGCCATAACAATTCTATTCCCAGAGAGAAGTTGTATCTCAAATTCAAAGTATATACTAGAGCACCAGAATTGACGCCTTCATTAGGTCCTAGTTGTTCATTCTGGAATTAGTTCGAAGTGTTAAGCAGCGAGTACCATCTATATTACGAGTCAAACGAAGGGACCATGAGCCAAGCGAACAAGCTATCCAATATGAGCGTAATTTTTTCCCAAGAAAGTACAAAAAAAGTGCAAGCATTAAGATTAGACTACATCACAGAATGGCTGTACGTTGTAGATATCGCCAGGATGTCTGTGATTGTGGATACTGCCACGACGTAACTCTTTTAAGGTGCAAGTAGTAAAGATCTACTGCTGGGTATTGAACGATCCAGGCACTAGTATGATTGCGGCAACCCTCCGCCAAGTACGTAATAATCCTGCACCCACTGAGAGTATTGTATGATGTCATGATAGAGCACTACCGTAAAAAGTATGCTCAAGGTCGTCCTCCATCTTACTGTGCTTCTCGTGTCTTTCCATCATAACGACGTCACTTCGTACCTCACCACGGATTGACTATGGACTTGTCCGGTGACGGTACTTAGGGGTTGAAAAGGCCAGCCTAGCCCAGCTCCATGCCATAAAACGAGGCTTACTTGCTCGAAAAGAATCTACTTTCTACACATCGATTCTCTCAACTTCGAAGCATCGAAGCATCCTACTTGAAGTTACATCTTGTCTCTACTACACTGAAGCCACCAACTACCTATCTCCAAAATGACAACCTTGAACTGTGAGTGCTCGTCTGTCCTCGCAGTGCAAGCGACGACCCTCCCCCTCTTAACTTCAACTCTCATGAATTAACATAATTGGCCTAGATCTCCCTTCAGTCAAGCCCTCCGCAATTGCGGCAGGTGCTCTTTTCACCCACACTGCTTCCCTCGGCATTCTCGCGCCCGTATTCGGCGATACCTATCATCGTGCCCAAGCAGCCAATTCCAAGGAAGAGTTCCTCAAATCTAAAGAGGCTGCTGGTGCAGTAGCAGCCTGGGGTACCTCCTTGGTTGGAAGCTCTGTCCAAACGTATGGAGTAGCAGCTCTGATCAACGCCACGGGTACTTTGAGCTACAAGGGAGCGGCTTATCTTGGGAGCTTGATCTTCATGGCCAGCGCAGCCCCCGGTGTATGTTCTCCCCATCCTTTCCTTTTTCCACATCCAACTCGCATTTGATACATGCTAACTATGTGCTGCCTTTGTATAGGTTGTGAGCCAGGTCTTTGCCGAAAAGAGACCCCTTGACACTGTTGCCGTAGGTGCAGTCAGTAGGTTGTTTGAAACAGTGGGACTCAGCCTCTTCCTTACTTGGTGGGGTACCCGCACGAATCCATTTTCTAGCAGCTATTAAAGGTTCTATTGTTTCAATGTAATTTTTGATAATGTCGTTATTTAAACATCAATTGATCATATATTCGGGCAAATAGTACTTTCTATAATCCACTGAAGTTGAAGACTTGAGTATATAGCATGCGCCATGCAACTAAAACACACAACCTCAAAAAAGCTTATACTGGCTCCTTTCAAGTTCTTCCTGTGTTTAGATTTAGAGTGGATTTGCTAGACGCATTGCCAGTGATCTTGGGTGTGGAACTTGGCCTTGTCATAGATATGCAACTAAAGGAGCCAAATGTGCTCTACGGAGTATACAGAATTCATTCGATTCATGGCCCATTGGCAGCAGAATGTACCTTGTAGGCTTGCGCCATTTCCTGAGGAAAGTGTTAAGCCTTTTCCTTTGCTTGTCCCAATAAGTTTTGATGGGGTAAAAAATCGACTGTACTTCTGTCAATTACATCTACAAGTACACCAAGTAATATCTACAACACTAGTAAATATTAAACACACAAAAGCACGAGGACAGACCGTCTAGTAATGAGAACATGTGATAAAGGGAAAGTAAGTACAATTGCATTTATCTCAATATTGTACTCAAATGCTGCATAGACAAGCTAAACGAAAGTGCGGCAGGGGTAGCTTATCAAAGGTGTTAGCTTGGTCTAGAGGTAACGGGGATAGGTAGCACATACACACTGGGGTAGCCATGGTCATGGCCGAGCTGATATTTGCTACCAGCAGGGTTCAAGTTGCATGGCAGCGGAGGCAGACCATTAGCGCCCAGAACTTCCTTGATTCCATTCTTGTCCTTCTCAAACAGACCAGCAAGGCCGCGCTCTTCGGCCTGTTGCTTCACGGACACCAACTGTTTCTCTCCTGCCTCGCCGATCTGAAGGACATCGTCCTTGGGGGCAGCTTGACTGCCTACACTGAGCAGGCCCACAGCATCCGCCTGACTGACCGCACTGAGCCGGGGATAGTTCCTCCGAGCATCACGTTTCCAATAAGGGTTGTCAGCCAAATCACCGGCCGGAACAGTAACCGGATCATCGTAGGATAGAGGAGGAAGAGCTCCAGGGGTCGGTAGACGATACTGAGCGTTCAACGGAACACCCGTGGAGCGAGTCGGGTCGACGGCAAGGAGGCGGCGAATGCGTTCCCATATCCCAGTGGATTGAACAGTATATTTCTAATAGAGAATAAGTAAAATATTCTATCCCGATGTAACACAGAGCAGCCAATGGCTATCTCCCACCTTATGGACGGCTATCACATTGGATGCGGACTTAGCCGCTTTCACGATGTCGCGAGCCATGATTTCTTTTCTGTCCAGGTAACGTATTAATGTTTTAGACGCAAATATGATAAGGGATTTTGCTATAGTGGGTGTCAATTTACCTGGATACTATATCGGGAAGGAAATGGAAGACCTTCAAGGGTACGTCCTTCGCCGCACGGTCTCAAACGGAACCAGGCCTGCGGAATCGAGCCTCTACACACGGAACAACTTATTTTCCGACAGTCGCACACCCCCGATTGCCCAAGGTAACATTTGTGGTAGGTAGCAGTGGAAATGAAAGAGCCCTGTTATTTCATGGAGAGAAAAAAAAATTACTGTATACTAAAGTGTCAGAGGGCATGCATCTACAGGCCACATATTAGAAGAGGCTAAATTGCCTTGCTCACGTGTGAGAAGCGGGCTACTATGGCCGGTTACAGTTCGGGTTGGGGGACATTCTGGGGCATCAATCGCGAGGATGGTTTGGAATTGCATATAGTGTTTATGCCAGACAAGGCCTGTAGCAATTGGAAACCTCAAGGCCTCAATATGTCTGTAACCTATGAATCCAGCAACTACCACGTTCAATGGGAGCAACCCCATTGAAGTGATATGCTGATTACCCACTATCAATGACTAGTCATCCTTAGCTGGTGGACTCGCGTGGCGGGTTTCGTCTCCAGAGCTCGGTTTCTTCAATCCTGCAGCTAGATTACGTGCAGCATCAAGCGTCGCATCGGGGCCTCCGGCCTGTAGTATCAGAACTTTGCCCTCTTTATCAATAGCAAAGATTCCTCGAATTGTGCCTTTTGGCGACTTTTTAAGTCCAAGAGCTGCTATCAATGTAGCGGTGGGATTGCAGAGAAGAGGGTATTGCAACCTTTGTTTCGTCTTGAACGTAGTATTTGCCTTTGGTGAGTCCGCTGAAAGGCCGTAAACCGATAAACCACTTTCCGTGATAGAGTCATAGTTGTCACGGAACAAACAGGCTTGTTTGGTACCTTTTGATACATTAGCTTCTCTAGGATTACTGCAGCGGATGATTATATCAAAGGCCATATCGCGAACGGGTGTATTCGATGACCACCATGCGTGTTTGTACCCGCACCAGATTATCCTCATGGCAGAGTGCGGGGGTAATTGGGGAGGTGGGAGTAGAGATTTTTACGTACAGCCTGGGGTTGAAGCTCTAGGGTACGTGAACAGCACGACACCAGCTTCACTAGCATCGACGAGATCTTTCAGCGTGGTTTTTTGCCCTTCGTCAGTCTCAATATCACCACCGAAGTTGTCCAAGTCTAGTTTGTCGCCAACTTTTGGAGCCTTATCGTCGGAGATGGCCTTGGGAACATCCGGCTTTCGAGATACCGTGGATTCTTGAACTTTTTTGGCCTTGCGCTCTGCCGCAGGGGCTTGTGCTGGCGCCTTGCGCTTTCGTAGTTCGACCATATCTTGTGATTGAGAATCCAGGCGTTTGATCTTTTGTGTCAACGGAAACAAAACACAAAGATTGGGGGAAGTAAAGAAAGACTTTTGAAGATGCTTATCAACAGCTAAACAGTGGATAAGTTTATAGATAGTGGAGTGTAGGCCAAGACTAACAGGTGAAAACGACTAACACCCGAGACAGCCACTGTAGTACGCATGGGAGATGTGTAATAATTGGCAGGGATTCTTGTACAGGGGTATGTAAAGAACTAGAAAGTGCATGCTTTGCATATGTAACTGACTAACGTATCTATCAACCAAGAATTTCCCATCTCCCCGTCAATATGGGGTTCCCCCGAGTACACCAAAAGCATGTATGTGCCTTCTACATGTCGACTACCACTTTTGGAACTGTTTGACGAATGTTCGGTATCAAGAGGCAAAGCTGGCTCTTATTGGATAATTCAAAGACATTTGATGATGCAGGAAACAAAGGGCCAGAGCATCATTCACACTGTCATATCTTGACCTCAATTAATTCAACTATCCTATAGTATGAGTGATTGATCGGTAGCATAAGATGTTGATCTGGGGGATTGTTCGGATATACACAGTAGTAGTCGGCATAAACCAACCTCGACCCTCTAAAATAGTAGCGCCTGATGTCAGATGCACATAATAAGTACCTAACTGACTAGTGGGTTCTCTGCGGAGTTGAAGGCGGTCTTTTGACCTTGACCGGGAGTCAGATTACTGTACCGGTAAATCCCGACCCTTGGCGCCACTGTTCTTGTCCAGGAGAAGAACGCGGAATCCGGGGCTAAAATTCTCAAATTTTCTACCAATCCTACCGCTATATTGCACAAGATTGGCGATCGCCACTCTCACTCACTGCGTCCGCCTTCACGACCACTCATGTGGAGTTCTCATTACTCATCTTGTAGTAGTTGATTATTTGCCGCATCCTGAACTCCTCGTAGTTATCGAATCCATAAGAACCTATCTCCGAAGCACCTACCGCCACAGACTTGGGTTTTGCTCCCGGTCTGGCTCGCTCTCTTTATCTCCTTGGACGTGCATCTTTCTTGTTCTCGAAGTGTTTTATAAGCATACGGCCACTCTTTGTCTCTCACGATCCCAAGGGACGTTTCAGATTGCAGTCTATCGACATGAGAGTCTTTTCTTCGACGTGCACTTTTGATTATTCTTGGGAAGAAGTTTCGGCGGCAAACTGGCGCAAATATTGTCCCTGGAATGACAAGTCTACACATGTCGTGGCAGTAGACACCCTATCTCGGGCAGTTGATGCTGATACTGGAATTGTACGTATCATCGACCATCTTACTCTCATTCTTACCGTGCAACATTTGGCTGATTGTCTTGTTGTATAGCTGCGGACAGAGCGTCTGATTACCTGTAATCAATCAGTGCCGCAATGGGTTCTTTCACTCTTTGGAGGCAGTGCTACGTCGCATGTTTACGAAGTGTCCTACGTCGATCCTGTCTCGAAGAAGGTCACGATGTGTTCGACCAACCTTACATGGTCTAACGTCTTGAACGTCAAGGAGACCGTTATCTATCAGCCGTCGCCGTCAAACCCTTCCTCAACTACCGATTTCAACCAAGAGGCGAAGATTACTGCCTTGTGCGGTGGATGGCAGAAAATAAAAAACAAGGTAGAAGAAGCTAGCGTGGAGAGATTCAGTCAGAACGCGAAGAAGGGCCGAGAAGGGTTTGAGGCTGTTCTTGAGATGAGTCGCCGAGTTTTCAGTGAACAACGTGAATTCGAGAGCACTAAGCTTCAATCCTAACCACAATTGGGGCTTGTGGTCTTGGTCTATCTTTTCCGTCATACGTTTTTGAGCGTTTGCATTAACTGGCGTCTCTCTTTCCCGTCTTTTCGCCTTCATTCATGTGTCTTAATCGAAGCGTTTGTTTTTCTATTCCCGATGGATCTTCCCTCTGCAGTTGGTCCGGACCGCATCTGCCTGTGATTGTATTTCAATGCCTTGCCTCAGCGCCTTTTGTTTCTGCTATCACGCGCCACTTATGAGACATGTACAACCAAAAGTTATAGACTCTTCTTTCGCTTCTATCACCTGTCTCTTTTTCCGACGTCGTGTTCATATACCATGAGTACTATATATGCACCAGAATAGAGGAATGGGCATGTTGAACTAATCCGCTTCTTCGTAACGCATCTGAGTGATGGCGTTGCCATTTACACACCAGTGTGGTTTGCTCTTGATAATTCCCGAGGATGACATTTTGTGATGGGGCTTCCTTGATCCCCTTTGTTGCTGCAATATGTAAATGGAACAAGTTTTCTTGACAAATACTGTCTTTGAACCGGAACGCTCACTATGGCAGCACAGAATCTCTAATTATTAGAATATCTGGTCAAGTCTCAAAACCATTCTAACACACGTAGTGGTCACACAAAATGGATGTTATATTATCTGACAGTTTGTAGCAGAAGGTACATTTGAAGTATATTCAAAGCATAGACAGTATAGGTACCACTAAAGGTTATGTTTATTAGGCGGGGACTGATAATGTATCGCCCCGTTCCGAATCCTACGATGTCATCCCGCCTCCTTCTCCGCATGCCACATTGCCCCTCTCAGCCCGCCTAGTCGGGTTAGGTAGGTGGACTCCCTAAGTTGTTTCACGGTCTCAACCCGTCGACAGCTTACACGAACGCTTCAATACACGCATAAGGTAATAGGGTACCCATTAAAACCCTGGCAATTGCTTCTTGGTTTATGTTCCCTCCATACGAAGTTGCCCTACAACAATGAGCGCCACTCCAGAAGACATGATCCCCGCGCCAGGAGAGTGGCCCGTGGACCCCCAAGAAGATGTACCCATTTCGGACAATCGCATTTGGGTAGACGGATGCTTTGACTTTAGCCATCATGGTATGCCACCTTTTGCTCGTACCTTACACAACACCTTCACAAGGCTGAGTTTTGTATAGGCCATGCGGGCGCTATGCTCCAGGCTCGCCAATTAGGAGACGAGCTTTATGTCGGTGTTCACTCTGACGAAGCAATCCTCGAGAATAAGGGGCCGACAGTTATGACACTGGATGAACGGTTAGTTTGCCTATATCAAGCAGCCCATTGGCCTTCTAACCCAAGTCTAGAGTAGCTGCAGTGGAAGCATGTCGCTGGGTGACTCGCTGCGTTCCCTCTGCTCCTTACGTGACATTTTTACCTTGGGTTTCGCACTACGGCTGCAAGTATGTCGTCCATGGCGATGATATCACTTCCGACAGCAATGGGGAAGACTGCTACCGGTTTGTTAAAGCTGCAGGGCGCTTTCGTGTGGTCAAGAGAACGCCGGGAATATCCACGACAGACCTTGTTGGGCGAATGCTTCTGTGTACGAAAAATCATTTCGTCAAGAGCGTAAAAGATACCCTCAACGGGGAAGAAGGATCTGGAAGTCTGGAAGAGCGCAAGCATTCGGCCAATAGTCTCATGCAAAGGATTCGTGATTATGCCACTGACGAGACTGGTCTGCAGCCTGGCCCGCAGGTTTGGATCTGGAACGGATCGAGTTCTGCGAAACTTGGGAACACAGTCGAGGAACCTGGCGCATTCGAGACCATTGTAAACGGAAAATCGCCAAGGCCAGGACAGCGAATCATCTATGTTGATGGGGGATTTGACTTGTTCTCATCCGGGCACATCGAATTCCTTCGACAGGTCTTAACGCAGGAGGAATTGGAAGGCCACCGGCGTGGTTGGTATGACGAAGAGCAAAAAGTCAAGAGAGTCAAAGAGTATGGAGAGGACTATGGCCCTGCCTATGTTGTTGCTGGCATACATGACGACGATGTTATAAACCACTGGAAAGGCCTCAACTACCCCATCATGAACATCTTTGAACGCGGGCTATGCGTTCTGCAGTGTCGCGTATGTAGTTCGAGGTGTCTGGAATCTTCAAGTGAAGTATCAACCTGCTAACCAGAGTTTAGTATATACATGCCGTGATCTTTTCCTCGCCATTCTCCCCAAGTCAGTCATACCTGGAGGCCATGCCATTAGGCGTTCCAGATGCAGTTTACCACGGTCCTACTACGTTCATACCCCTCACCTATGATCCTTATGTGGCACCCAAGCAGATGGGCATTTTCAAAGAGACATCTAGCCATACGTACCAGTATGTGAATGCCGGTGAGATCGTTGACAGGATATTGAAAAGTAGGGAAGCCTATGAAGAAAGACAGCGCGCCAAACTCGAAAAGGGTGTTGTTGAGGAGTTGGCCAAGTCCAAAGAGTCGGCATCTGCCTAGATAGCAATGGTGTATAACAAAGCCGGGCAAAAGCGCTTCCATAGAACATGAAACGATAAATAATATAGAAGACGGAGAATAAGGGAGGGATGCTCGGAGATAGCCAAGACCAAGCCACTCTTATGCATTCCAAAAAGTCAAGCACATTAAGACCAAGAATATGAAGTTTGGACCATGCGTACGTCATGACAGAAGCTTCTCTATCTCCCCATCCTCGATCGCGCCAAAATGAAATGTAGAGTTTGAGTCACAAGCACACATGCATCTACTGCTGACATAATTCTTTCCTTCGGACGAAAAACGGTATGATAGTTTGTAAATGTACAGTACGTGTATCGAGGCAGCTGCGCTATATCACATTCCTAAAATTAGTCGGCCGCCACAAGGACCCCCTTCTCTTCGAGCAATTTAGCAAGTTCTCCGTTCTGATGCATAGACATCAGAATATCGCAGCCACCGATGAACTCCTTCTCCAGATACAATTGCGGGATTGTGGGCCAGTCGGAATACTCTTTGATGCCTGGGAGACCTAGTATTAGTTGATTTGAAATAGAGATTGAGGACAAGAGTCCATCTATAAAGCATACCCTGACGAAGTTCTGAATCTTCCAACACATTGAATGCAACAAACTTCTTCGGATCCACTCCCTGCAGTCCCAAAATTTGTATACTGGCTCGAGAGAAACCGCACTGCGGCGTCTCTGGCGTGCCCTTCATGAAAAGAACGACGGGTGCAGATGCGACAGCTTTGTCGATAGCTGTCCGTGTCTCCGAAGACAGATACCGGGCATAGAGGGTAGAGGGCAGCTGGATGCCAGCGAATCTAGGTTGCAACACTTGAGGTTGTCGGAAAAGTGGCCGAAACGCCTAATAAAAATTTATCGTAAACTTAGCTATGTTCATGAAGAACGAAGGAGCAGTATGCATAATAGCTGAAATATCAGCAAAGTAGGGGTGCGCAATACGTACCGATGAGGCCAAAGTCCTAGAGAACATGATGAGTTATTAGTTTGTGAGAATGAAGAAACGCCAAATAATTGCCGCTGGAGTCAAGCTCTGCTTGTCTATATGCACCGAAGCCCGAGGATTTAGTTAGCACATGCGGAGAACTTGGCTACACATGCTCACTAAGCAACCACTGTAGTTGTTGACATTAATAAGGAACAGTTCCCACTCCCAGTCATGTGACCCAAACTTCTTTTTGCTTGATAAAACTCCCAGTGAGCAGGTAGCTATGCATTTGTCAAGAGTGTACGAATAGTAAACCTCGTCTACAGAATCAAATCATATTAAATAATAGTTGCTACTCGAATTACCAGGAGCGGTAAAACAGGACATCTAGTCAAGGTAGCTGACGGCTCCCCATTAATCTTGGAGCAAGATATCGACTTCAAATTGAAAGTGAACAGTCAAAGGTAGAATTGTCCCATGATCGGTATTGAAAGTGTTGTGTAAATTATCTTCACGTGGCAGACTGTGAATGTCCTGAAATCTACCGGAAAGTGTTAGCAGAGTGATTGATAAACAGGTTACTCCTCCAAAACACCCCGCGTGTGCTCTCGCAAACACCCCGCAACTCCAAATTATTTCACCCCGCATATCGAGATTTGCATTCATCATATCATTTGCCCAATCCGGCCATTATCTGCCCAAGAGCCCCATGGAATCCTCACCAGCTCCGTTCAAAGCCCAACACCACATGGGTGACAATAAAATCCATGTGCTCCTTGCAGCCAGTGGGTCGGTTGCGACCATCAAACTTCCCAATATCGCGGAAGCCCTTGGCCGCCATTCGAATATTTCTATCCGCATAATCGTTACAAAATCAGCGGCTGAATTTCTAAAGGGACAGAGTCACGAGCAACCATTGCTCGAAAATCTCCTCGAACTACCTGGCGTGGATGCTATTTACCGAGACGAGGATGAGTGGAGGCACTCTTGGACTCGTGGCGAGCCAATCCTACATATAGAGCTCAGAAAATGGGCACATATCCTACTCATCGCGCCTTTATCCGCCAACACCATGGCCAAAATGACCATGGGAATTTCAGATAACCTTCTTCTCTCTGTTTTGCGAGCATGGGACACGACGGGATCGGTGGACGCCAATTTCAAGGAAAAGAAGCCCATTGTGTTTGTCGCCCCCGCCATGAATACAGCAATGTGGTTTCATCCGATCACTGCCAAGCAACTGGCTATACTGAATGATGAATGGGGCGTAAACTCTCGCAACGAGGGCTGGGTATCTGTACTTAACCCGGTAGACAAATCTCTTGCTTGCGGCGATACAGGAACCGGGGGTATGATGGAATGGAAGACCATAGTCGATAAGGTGGAGCAGTATTTAGGTATTGGCAGAGACGATAAATAAAGAGGTTAGCTAGAGCTTCAGGACCTGAAATGAAGAACGTAGGTTGTTTGTTTTTTATCAGCTCTCCAGGGAAACCGGCTCCTCGTCCGGATCATAAAACCCAGTGGTTTTCGCGACATAGTCAAGGAACATTCCCAGGGTAATGCCTCCACCGGTGAGCAAGCAACCATTCTTAAACCACCACCAGCAATTCTGTACGTTTTTTAATTGAACTTTCCAGATCATGAGACCGAGGGTGACAGCTGCACTGCCACAACTGCCGATGAAGAAGATAGGCCCGCTTCCCGCTGCTACACCTGCAGCGGCGAGTAACGGCACCTGGACGGCGGCGAGAGCTGAAAGCACAGCTTTTGTGTTCTTTTCATGACGAAGGGCAATAGACTTAATGCCAGCCGCAACGTCATCTTTAATGTCCATATGCGCATATATCATGTCATACAGAACCGTCCAGGTTACACAACTAGCGTAAAGCGCAGCAGCAGCTTCCAGTGCGGCGCTATTATGGAGGAGATCGATACCCAGCGCAGGGAAGCCCATAATCGCACCCCATGAGAAAGTAAGGCCCAGCACAGCTTGGGGATAATAAGTAACGCGTTTAGCAAGCGGATACGTGGTCACCAAAAGAAGACTAGGTATACCGTACCAAAGGCATTGATACGGAAATTGAAGAAGAACACCAAGTCCTGCCAGCAACTGGGTACCTGTAAACAGCACCGCTTTACCAGGAGGGATTGCTCCTCTTGCGATTGGGCGGAATTTCGTGCGTTCGACATGCGGATCTAAGTTTCTATCCCATAGATCATTGATTGCACATCCGGCACCGCGCATGATCAAGGCCCCAGCAAAGAAAAGACCGGTAGTTCCAACAACTTCCCAGGCTGAGACGGACGGCGCAATGGACGCGGCAAGTAGAGTTGAGAATGCGCAGGGGAAGAAAAGGTAGTATGTACCTGTCGGTTTATCGAGGCGTAGCAGCTCAGCGTACGGTATCCATGACAGAGGCAAATAAGAGATAAGGCCCTTGTTTGGTGGCGTATAGCTTGTCACTGAGGCCTGGCTTGTTGTACTGTGTGCCTGGCTTAGTATCAAGGCCGCGCGACGGGGATGGCGGTTGTGGGTTGTAATGTTCGATTTCTGGCAGATTGATTTATTGCTGTTGGTCGCCGTATAACCATATCTTCTAGACGACGATAAGGAAACTGGACACCGGTGTCCTTGTACAGAGGTGACCCGGTATATGTAAGTGCTCCTTTCCCTAGGATAGCGACATAGTCGTGCATGCCGGCCGGCATACAAGCAATTCATAATGAACCGAATGAGGATGTAGAGATGATAGTGCGTAGCAATTGGCCTCCTGTATGACTAGCAGTTTCAGAATTATCCTACACGGAGACAACGAATCGATCTGGCACAGCGATTTGGCAGATGAAATCCGCACGCCAACCAGACTAGACGCTATCCGAGTCAATTGACGAGCAGATGAGAAGAATTGAAGCAAAATGAAGCGTAAGATGCAGCTACCACTAAGCAATTTTCATGCCAGGAGCAGGAGCTTCCTGAGATTCACTCTCCAGGAAATTGATTGGGAGAAAAAAAGGTTCATGATGAGCGAAATTTAAGGTACGGATATTGGCGGCCGGAGGTGTTCTTGAGCCTTTTTTCGGCAGTGGTTCCATGCGTTCCTGGGCCCGGCGGACGGGACCCACATGCCACAATCGCCGATGCAGCTGCAGCGAGAGTGAATCGAGACAATCAACAACTGCGCAGGGTCTATGGGTGTTGAACACCCTCTTTACTTCCATCATTTGGGAATCGGGGTATAGCTTGCACGGAAAGCAACTGCTGTTTCCGTCTCAAACTCGTGGTGTTGCTCGTCTGTTGCTCGTCTGTTGCTCGTCTGTTGCTCGCTATTGTCATGACCGCGCGATATGTGCATGTGGGCATTTGATCACGTTCGCCCTGCCGGCCACTTTTCTGAAGCGCGTTGATATCGGTTCTACTCAGCTGATCACCTGTTCTGGGCGATATTCATGAATCATTCTGGTGTACGTACGCTCCGACATCTTTCATGAATTCCAAAAGAACACAACCTCGGCGCAGTGGTCCATCCGGTAGCTCGAAAGTATGCTCTACAGCGGGGAAACAGAATTGTTGGCTTTATCTAATTCGCGAAATAGGGTGATCGATACATTTGAAGGCGAAAGTACTGGAGCTATAGCCATTCGTACCGACCTTGTTGAACACCCTTCAGGATGCCCGCCCAGCGACCCCGAGCGGCTTTTGAGCCACTTTCGCCAGACTTGGACCTCACCGCACTCGTGAACTCGACACCAAACTTCGAGGAAGTTGCCAGGATTCACTGCGATATGATTGATGAGAATGGGCTGGAGATATTCGAGAAGCTTGTGTTGCTCCATGTGGTTCGGGGTGGAAAGCCTTTGGTAGTCGAGGGCTTCAACCACCGGCTCAATAACTCGATCTTCTCGGAGAAATGGCTAAGAACTCACTATTCATCCAAAAGTGAGTGATGTATCTTTCATCTATGCTGTCTTGCTTATCTAACCCAGAGCTTCTACGACACAGCGGAATGTGCTCGGAATTTGACCACAAAAACTGATTTACCTCTTACTATTGGACATTACCTGAAAAACTTGCCCCTTTTAGCAAATCAGTGGACTTCCTATAACTACAAAGATCCTGACCGCCAGAGGATCTACCTCAAGGACATTGACTGTCCTCATCAATGGCGCGAGCAATTGAAAAAGATAATCCCCCCCGGATTGTTCTACTTGAACCAGTTTCAGGAAAGCTTTGACGGCCCGGGAGCGAAGAGAAGTACATCTTCCAACAGAAATAAAAAGTCTACGGGCTCAAATAATCCGATAGCCAGACCTGGGGATCTTATGAGTTGCCTCCCTTCAAGCATGCGTGCAGAAAACCTGATGTGCTACATCGGCCACGAGGGTACCTATACACCAGCTCATCAGGAAATGTGTGCTAGCTTGGGCCAGAACATCATGGTGGAGGCGTCGGATGGTTCCACTGAATATGGCAAAGAAACGAAGCCGGGGTCGTCTATTTGGTTTATGACCGAGAGCAAAGATCGCCGTGTAGTCTCGGAATATTGGATGTCAACACTAGGGCATGATATCGATATTGAGGATCATTTTGCGCAGATAAATGCGTGGAAGGCAGCGCCCTTCAAGACTTATGTTGTCGAGCAACGACCGGGCGACTTCATCCTCGTACCCCCTTTAGCAGCACACCAAGTGTGGAATCGAGGAACACGGACAATGAAAATAGCTTGGAATCGTACAACTCCGGAAACCCTGGAGAAAGCGCTCACTGAGGCTCTTCCTCACGCCAGGATGGTTTGCCGAGACGAACAGTACAAGAACAAGGCGATAGTGTTCTATTCATTGGAGCATTACTCGGCCATCCTCCGCAAGGCAGATACAGTTGACAGTGGTGATTCGACAGTTAAGCAAATAATCAAAGACTTCGAGCACCTTTTCGGCCTCTTCACTGACATCATTTTGTCCGAGAGCTTCTCGGACCAACTACCCGAAGAGGATGTTGAATATGTTGCCTTTGACAGCAACATTACATGTTCATACTGCCGGGGTAATATTTTCAACAGGTTCCTAACTTGCCCGTCTTGTGTGGGACCAACAAATACAGACGAAGAAGACACTTATGATATTTGCATGGAATGCTATGCGATGGGCAGGAGCTGTGCTTGCATAGCTAAGCTCAAATGGGTTGAGCAGTTCCCTTGGGATGAGCTTCAAGCCAAATACGAGACCTGGAGGCTGCAGATACTGGACATCAACTCTCAATCCCGAGACACATTCGTGAGTCTCCCAGCGCAGAGGAGCCGGCTGGAGAAGAGAACACTTGCAGAGGTTTGCCAGTTGGAACTCAGGCGGCGGCCGTGGGTCGACATAAGTAAGCCGACTGTTCAGTCAGAACGGCTTGAAGAGCTGGAAAGTGATTCGGAGCGACTTAATTCCGCGCGCAAACGGAGGAAAACTCGTCGAGTTGACGCATTTCAGCAGACTGGAAATTGCCACATCTGCAGATATGCCGAGCCAAGGTGGAAGCTTGCCTCGTGTTCTAGCTGCCGGACGAACTACTGTTATGGCAGCTTGTTTAGGGCTTTCAATATAAAGCCGCAGGAGACGATGGAAGCATTCGAGTGGAAGTGCCCAAAGTGCCGCAAGATTTGTAGTTGTGCTGCGTGTCGTCGCGATCCCACGATGACGCCCTTTGAGCCGACATGCACATTATTGGGCCACGACACCCGAAAGATAGCCGACCCTCGAAGTGTGGAGAGCTTAGTGGATTTCCGACAATCCAACCTCAGGTGGCTGAAGAAGGCCGGCGATGATGAGGTCAAACGGCTGAAAAAGCACCAGAAAGAAGCCGACGACAAGCGTAACCAGTCAATGGTCGAGCATAGCATTCAGCTCGAGGAGGTGCCTCCAGTAACAGAGTATGCGCCTGACTATGGTGATATACCGGTAGATCCGGCCCTGGAAAGGCTTGACAGCTCGTTTATGAGTGCACCTGACCTCTCCGGCCAGTGACAAGTTTGAGGGCGCTGCAGTAGTGTCCCATGTCGTTATAGCTCTATGCATGTCGGGCGTTATACTTCTTTTTCTCTTCATTTAACATTTCCGCAAATAGCGAGCAGGCTTATCTTGGCATTGTATCAGCGGACGAATTCAGGATCGAACTTAACGTCTTGCATTATCCTTATCAATATGATTTGTAGACTCACTAACATGCTGGTTGGATTACTGAACTCATGAGCATGTAACTGTCGCCCGTGTCTTGTCAAGCAACTTCCCATGAAGCCGTGCTTGACCAAGAAAGACTTTTATTGCAGCGTGCCCTATGCTCCTTTGTACTCATAGCGGAGGTTCTCAAGCGCTTTGAGGTCAACTGATAGCATGACCTTGCGTGCGACTAATACAGCTGCAAACATTGCTATGTCATGTCAGTACTCGTCCGATCTTTTGCAAGACTCAAAACATCTAAGCAAAGCAAGGATGCCGAAGGTCACCTACCTCCTGGAACCAAGTAGGTAACCGGCTGGATCTCCAGCCAGGATTGCGTTGAGGATTGCGAAGCGTAGACCAGGGCCAGAAGCACGCAGATCGCAGCATTGACAGGCAAAATGTATGGCCGGATGCTAGCCATAGCATGCGGTGTGGTCATTGGTCTCTTGCCCTTAGGATCCGGGCGTTCAAGCGGGAGATACTTCATGATATAGGCCGTGACTAGTAGAGATAGGGCGCCGAGCAAAGACAGAAATCGTTCAGATAGGCTCGAGGAGCCCGACAGTATTGAAGCAATGAAAGCGAAGCTGGAACATAGCGGGATGGCGGCAAAAACGATCTATGTAGATGTGTCGATTGGTCCTCAGCAAATGCTCTCACTCTCGCTTCATTGGTTTCATGATAGGAAATATATTTACACTATATTCAGAGTTCCGTTTCTCATTTAGTGCTTTCAGTTGCTCTATCACACGTTCCTGCTCTGTCGGACCGTCAGCAACGTCGTCTAGAATGGCTTCCTGCTTGGCCATTTGCCAGTATGTACATACCTTCTTCGTCTAGCTCCTCCCGACTGTGCTCGTCATCACCTGAATCATCAGGGTAGCGAAAAGCTCTGCGAAGCCTTGCCGTTGCCATCGCTGCAACAATATGTCTGCTATGAAGGTAGCAGAGAGAATCAAAGAATTGTTGATGACGTCGGCCTAAAAGCACACGAGGTCCCTCCAGCTTGGGCGTGGGTTTGTCTCGTTTGCCAAGGGTACGGGCAGTACACCCGTTTTAGATTATCATTCCCGCCTCAGGTTTCGGGCTTCCGAGCATTTAGCAACCACGCCCTACTATTACTGCCACTTTCCACGATACAATAAACCACAGAGGTCACGGTCACTCCGCCACACCGCAACAAGACACACGGAACCCATCGAAAGCCAATTGGACTTTTATACCTTCTCAAAAGATGCTCCTACGACTCGCAGAGAGGCGCATCGGCGCTTCTCGAGTATGCGTAAACCATCGCAAAATGCTCCCTCCCCGGCGCAACTTGATCCCCGCACCACAGGCGAACTCGGGCCCTCTTATGGAAAGACGGGCGGACAGAGCTCTGCCCAATGTTCAAAATGAGAGGCGATGGATACGAACCTTGCCTATCTTTGCTGTTGTCGTGGGGGCCGCTATGCTGGGTATCTTTAACTATCAGAAATCTTCCTCCAGTGTGGTTAACAGTACGCTGTATGCGCTGAGGACTTCCCCGCAGGCGAGGGAGATTCTGGGTGATGAGATTTATTTTGCTCAGAAGATCCCGTGGATTAGTGGAGAGATGAACCAGCTTCATGGTCGCATTGATATCTCGTTCTGGGTTAAGGGTACTAAGGCTCAGGGTAAAATGCGGTTCCGCAGTATTAGACCTGACCGGACTAGCTTTGTTCGTTTACCCCATTGCTTTTTGTTTTTGACCTGAAAACTCCTGGCTAATGTTCGTTCGTTGTATAGTTCCGCACGGAAGTATGGAGTTTGGAAACCGAGGACGGCACGGTTGTCCAGCTGCTTGACAAGGATACCGACCCATTCAACCAGACCAATTGATTGGCTCGACTACTTGGCCCTCTTGTTTCGGGCTGTATACTCGCTTGTTACGTGGTGTTTGGAGATTTGTGCATGTAAATATATCATATCATTCATGTGCATTGGGCTAAGGCGTTCGGGCTTCGGAAAGCGTCACACTCTCCCTTTCCCCCTCACTCATCCCATTGGGCAGATTTAGGTTGCTCGACTGGAGTGGAAGAGCTATTTGAGAGCGCCAATCTGGCGGAGAAGAACCTATAGGAACCCAACACTTTGGGAAAGGGATATCATTTATGTATCATATACAGACGCCGCTCTTAAAAACAATACAGTGTAGTAGTACATTTCACAAAAGATGACAAGAAGAACAGAAAGCGCGCGCGGTTAATTTATTCAGAAGCCTCAGCAGTCGCGGGGGAAGCTTCCGGCCACGGCTTCTTGATGGCATCCTGTATCCGGACAACGCAGCCCTTGGGACCACTGACGGAGCCTATTTAAAAAAGCCAAAGTTAGCATCAACCGTATCCATGTATCAAAACCCACTTGATAACAGAAGAGTAACCCGGGGTATCCTACCATTGACCACAACAATTCCATTCTCAGCATCCACCTTCAGGATCCTCAGATTCTGGACCGTGTTCTGCTCATTACCCATGTTACCCGCCATCTTCTTTCCAGGGTAAACACGAGAACCACCACCCTGACTAGGACCAGCGGAACCAAGCGAACGATGCGTCAAAGAAACACCGTGACTGCGATCCTGACCACCGAAACCATGTCTCTTCATAACACCCGCGAAACCCTTACCCTTCGTATTAGACCTCGCATCAATGAACTGTCCCTCCTGGAACCAGTCCGCACTGACCGCCTGACCAACAGGCAAAAGCCCGCTCTCATCCTTAACCCGGAACTCATAGACATGACGCTTAGGCGAGATGCCATTGGCAGTGAAATGGCCGAGCAGGGACTTGGTCAAGTTACTAGGACGCCTCCACCCAGCACCCAGCTGAACAGCATAGTATCCATGCTTCTCGCGAGTCTTGTGCGATACGACCTCGACTCGATCGAGCTGCAGCACGGTGCAGGGAACACGTTTGCCGGTCTCCGGGTCATACAGGGCGGTCATGCCCTTCTTGAAGGTGATGGCACCGGTCCGCAGGGGGAGGGTGTTTGCCTTGCGCTCGAGGGCGGCGGTGGGTGTCGATTTCAGCACGGGCAGGTCATGGCCGACGTTGAAGCGCGAAGCCTCGGGTGGGTTCAAGGACCGGATACCGAAGGTGCGGACTGAGGTGATGGAGAATTGGCTGCTGCGGACGGAAGGAGAGATTGGGATTTGAGATGCCCAGATGTTCGTCAGGGGAAGCTGGGAAAGCTTCCCGGGCATACGGGGAGGCATGGCGAATGGAGGTGATGGGGGGGAGGTACAACTCTCTCACTCTCACTTACTTTTCTGCCGCTGAGATTTTTGGCAAGACGTGCGGAGACCCCGTCGAGGATGGACCGGAGAGCCTCGAAGGCGGTGTGGTGTGTAGGTGCGCGCGAGCGCGGATTCTGGTTTGATGCCTGGGTATGATCCTCAGGCATTAATACATGCGGGTAAACATGGGTTAGTTTACTTAGTTACTGTATGAATGCTTATTTACCAGCGCGCACGTAGGCACGCAGAATTCTACACTAGATCGCTAATAGTGCTTATATGGAGCCTTCATATTCCTGGCCCGAGCCAATGCCGAAGATATGGCGACACTAGCACCACAAACTTCGAGCATGCGATTTTCGTGCAGTCGATTCCATGCTCCGATGCCAATTGCCAATCGGGAACCGGACTCGCCGGCACGCCGATGGCGGCGCCGAAGTGTATAAAAAAAAGACGGGAGGGAAGCTGATCCTACGATCTGCTGCCGCAACGTCATCCCAATCTCACTTGCATTCAGGCCTGCATTGCCGTCTCGGCTTCTTTTGCTTTCCAGACCGTCGCTATCCGCGAGTATATAAGAAGAGGACTTCTTGGTGATTTTTCCCGGTCATCTTCCACCCCACGATTTGTCCGTTCTTTTCCGAAGACCCTACCGGAAAAAGACTCACATCACAACCTGTTACAACAAAACTACGCCTCCCCCCCAATTCGCTTGCATTCGGACAACCATCCATCCCATCCATAAAACCCGAACAAGATGAGTTTACGACGGTCTCACCTATCGCGCCTGTTCTCTCAAGCGTCGAGAATTCTCCAAAATGCGCCACCCGCGTCCACAACAACAAGGACATCTTCCCTATCCTCCTCCCCACTCCTAAGCCGGGCCTTCGGAATGCCCAGCAGACGCGCATTGAGCTTCCAGACCCGTGGGCCTTCCCAAATAAAATTCAGGAGCGGCCAGATGCAACAACCAGGGAACATCTTCCGGCGGTCGTTCTTCCGGTCCGCTCGGTCGAACAGCTCGGCGCAATCGGAACAGCAAGCGCCCTCTCTTTCGCAGCGTCTTCGCACGCTGTCGAAGGAGTACGGATGGTCCGCGCTGTGGGTGTATCTGATTCTGTCGGCGGTGGATTTCCCGCTGTGCTTTATGGCTGTTCGGTTGGCTGGAGTGGAGCGGATTGGCCACTATGAGCATGTTATTTCGGAGTCGGTGAAGGGGGCTGTTCGGAAGGTGTGGCCCCCTTCGGAGGAGGAGGAGAAGGCTGCTGCTGCGTTGCAGAGGCAGGCAGAGCAGGAGGAGAAGGAGGCGGGCGAGGAGAAGGCTAATGGTGGTGAAGCTAGTAAGTGGCTTATGTTTTTGTACCCCTTTGCTTTGGATGCATCCGTGAGTATAAGAGATCCGTTGGCTAATTGCTTTTCTTTATCGTTTGACAGGTCTTTGGACGCAGCTTGCCCTCGCTTATGCGGTTCACAAGAGTCTTATCTTTATTCGGGTTCCCCTGACGGCTGCGATCACTCCCAACGTTGTCAAGGTTCTGAGGGGCTGGGGCTGGGATATTGTCAAGGGTAGGCCGAAGGGCATGTAAGTGCCATTGGAGATGTGTTTGAGTATGATGGTTGGGACGATTAATGCCGGAAATGGCTCTGTGAAGAGTCTTCAAAACAAGATATTATATTTATAGAGAGATGTACACTAGCTGTTACATATAATTTTGCAGGACACGCACGCAGTGTCCTTCTCCACTCAGAGATATTGAACCGGGTATTTCCGTCAATCATGATCGTCTAAGGACGACAGGGTACAAACGTTCGAGGAAAGATGAGACGGGACATTAAAGGATACAGGACATCAGTCTAGAGTACCCAAAAACCACAGCATGTAGCAATATTGAGCCAAGCGTTAGGAAAAAGTAATGGCACAAGTTTATCCAGGCATGCAGTGCAAGAAGTAACAAATGAACCGAGCCCCACATAAAGAAAAGACCTCACAGTGAAACAAGCATGTATGACTGACATGAATACATTGGTTCGGGATCCGTTGACGCCCGAGATACATATCGACGAAAAGGTCGTGAGAAAAAGTGGGATGTATGCGAAAGAGAAGACTCGAGATGGCGTATCACATGTCAATCATATCGTTGAATTTCAGGATGCCATTGGCTTTCATGACACCATTCACACCGTCTGGCATTCTGTATGCCCATTCAGCAACGCCCAATGGGCTTGCGACTTGCATGGCGTCTAGTTGGTCGGGTTGCTCAGATTCATCGGATGTATCCGCAACTAGCACGAGGCCAAGCTCCTTGATCGTCTCTACAAGCGCCGGTACGACATTCTATGGTATCAATTTGTTAGTTTCCGATCTTTAGGGCAGACTGTTGTATAATGTCAGTGTAGGAAGAAGATGAAGCACAACTTACCAATAGACTAGAACGGCATATCAAGCCCATGAGATTGTTACTTTGCGCTATCCGTGCCGATTCCTTAATGGACATAGAAGCTCGACCACTACTATCGACGTCTGGCAAAGACTTAACGTCGCGGGCTAAGTCACGAATTTGGCCAAGATCATTGCAAAGCAGGACGGGATCTGAAATAGAAAGTGAACAGTTAGTGTATTGCTTCCAAGCGATACCTGGGAGGGCATGTGTAACTCACAGTTCGGTTGCTTCCAGTTCAAAGCAATGCATATATTGGGGTTGTAGGAGGTAAAGACCACAGACCGCATGTAATCGGGGTTCTGATCACGCGAAATACGAGCGTGGTCAAACACTTCGGTAAGAATCGCATCGGCAAAGGTGTTGACATCCGCCAAAGACGTCATGTTCAACGCTCGCTCCTCGGCAGCAGAGGGGTAGAGGATCGACAGATTGATGCTGACACTGAGTGGTAGATGGTGGAACACGTCTCGCAATGAAAGGAATGATGAGGCCAGCAAGCGATGAGCCTGTGTCAAATCCTCCACCGCACGTGTTTGCAGGAACTGCAACATCTCCGAATGATTGATGCCCCTTTCGGCGCCCATTGCTTGGAACTGGGCATAGGTAAGATGGCAAATGGGTATTTCGATGTTGTGATGGCCAATGGTAAAGTGAGGGTACAGAACCGGAACCCGATCCTTAGTGAGTTGCACGAAAAGCTGAACATGGTCGCCTGAAAGGCTTGAGCCGGTGACTAGGCCGTTATGCTCAGGATCGATAGCACTTGTTGCCTTCCAATAAGTGGCAAAGTGTGTGATCTCCAGAGGATCTCCGTGGTACGGCTTGATAACCTGGAAACCAAACTGAAGCTGGCCGATCGAACGTAACCGAGGATCAAACAACGGCAATGTACATGTCCCGGTACTGGAATTCTCAGCTCTGAACACTGTTGGTAGGGCGACTGTTTTGGCGATAACCTTGGAGCCAAAAGTGGGGAAAATCTCGAAATCAACGGCGAATGATTCTAGGTTGTCCACATGGAATGAGATCATGCGTGAATCCTCTTGGATCGGAAGCATGATCGTCCGGGGAATCAAGTCAGAGAGCTTCGATGAGATGGTTAACCGAGCAGCAGGATGCCGCCCGGCCTGATCGAAGCAGATTGAACCAGACGCGCCAGTGTCAAATAATATCTGAACAAACACTTTCTTATCCAAAAAGTTATGGCCGTAACGCCTCAAGGGTATGATAGGCGGCGGAAGAGACAGATCAGGGATACCGTCAGCGGTCTCCATATCACCGGTTTCTGTCGCATCGCTAATTTGCAGGTCAATGTTGTGGCTTGCTTCTGGCTGTCTCATACCGTTCATAATGTCGAATGGTGTCCGTGCGGGTCGTGAGTCGGTGCGGATAGACCAAAGCAAAAGCATGCATTCCAAATGACCTTCCCAGGCTGCATAATACATCGCCGAGAGGCCCTTCTCATCAACAGCACTGGCGTCGACACCTAGCTCCAGTAGGGTGCGCAAACAGCCCACGCAGCCTTCGCTGGCGGCGTGGAAGAGCGGCGTCCATTGATACAACTTGTCGCGCTGGTCCATGTCAGCCCCGTATTGCTTGAGAAGTAGAAGTAGCTGTGGCGACTGCGAAGCTCGTGCTACCATGTGCTGAGGATAGAGGCCTTCCGCATCTGGGAGCAATCGTGCACGCCGCTGTAAAAGGATTTGAACTATCGAGAGCGATCCATGCTGGCAGGCAAGATTCAGCGGAATATGATCGGACTCGGAAGCGGGGTCAATACGGGCATTGTTGTGAAGTAGTTGCTCCGCACATGCTAGTTGATCTTTAACAATGCTGTGAATCAAAGGGGTGAAGTTATCATGATCCATCACATCGACAGTATGAGGCCCTGCGGCCAGAAGATCCCGCACCATATCCACGCGTCCATGCATACAGGCGTAATGAAGAGGAATCCTGCCGTAAACATCTGTTCTGGAAACATCGACCCCGGCTTCCAGGCCAGCTTTGAAAACGAATTCACGACCAGAGATCGCTGCTTCGTGCAGACAGTTGCGCTCATTGATGTCATCTTCAGCTAAGAGGTTAACCAAGCCGCTTTCCAAGAGCACCGCTAATACATCGTCGGAGAACTCGTTGATGGCGGCTAAGAAAGTGCGGGTTGCGCGAGCTTGTGCGTCGGGAGACGACTGCAACTTGGCGGTCCATTCGCGTAGAGTCTGCAGGTTCCCTGCCATTGCAGACTGTAGAATCTGCAGGTCGAGATCTTCCTCATCCGTGCCAAAGGCCTGAACAGCCATAGCCCGATCCACCGGGCGAGCCGTATCAAAGTGGATGTTTTCGCCTTCTGCCCATGCTTCCAGCTCTAACCTGGCTGTCGTTGCTCGGTCGGACAAATCACGCAAGACATCACGATTGAAACACGGTTGTACTTCAACAGCGCGGTGCAGGTAGAGTTCCTTCATGCGAGACTATAGGAGACACATAGATAAGTAAATGGTCGCACGTTATCAAGATGGGATGGATGGATCCACGACGCGCGGGGTGTGGGTGACTCGGACCTTTGATGTTTTATCCCACTAACTGAACTGTTAGCTATGTCAAGATTAAGGAAGCTAACAGCTGCGTTGCTTTCTGTGACGAACCTTCTTTAGAATTTTCGACATCGCAGTTTCGTTGATCTCGACGAATTGCTTTTCGTACAGTGACTATCAGTATGCCTCCCTCGACAAAGCTTGCCGAACACCAAGCGAACTCACTTGTAACTTGTTCAGGTCTCCATCGAACTGCTGAAACCCTTCAAACAGGGCCACGAAATTGGCTGGTGCTTTTGAACTGGTCACTGCCCGCGACTGGATAACTCGTTTCTTGTCGACTAGCGTCTTCAGCCGTAATGAGAACTGTTCCTTGCCGTCAGCCCATCACAGCTCTTGAAGGGAGCTGCAAAGGAATGCAAACCTCGGCTTCTTTTTGCAGATAGAATGCATTGACTTTCTCGATCTCTCGCTCCTACACAAATCACCAATGAGTCCCAATTCATCATGCGCTGGGCAGACTTTCTTACCAGACGGAAAAAGAACACCTCCTTGTTCGCGCGAAGAGCAGCTTGCGCTTCGGGGACATTTTGGGGGACACCTGCGGCGCTCTGAGCGGGTATTGTCGGTGTCGCACTAAGTTGTTTGATAAGCTGTCATAGGGGTCAGCTGTGGTGAGACATGGTGTATATCTGGTGGTACAGGGAGACAGAAAGGCGAGGTAGTGAACGGCCAGATAAGTGAGTGTGAGACCGACCTTCTTCAGAGCCTTATAATTCACGAAGCTGGCGGCATATTCGGGAAGATCAAGCTGTCTACGCTGGATCTGCTTGCCGAACTTCCTGTAACCCCGGTTGTCAGTGTCCCAATGGAAGACATGACGAGCTCAAAATTCATGAGTTGTGAGCAGACATGGACTCACATCTTCGGAGACTAGCTCTGCGCGAAGGCGAGAGAGCGATGTAACCGGACCCTTAATGCGCTGGTGCCCAGTTGAGGCAAAGGCTGAGGGGCCTGGAATACAAGACTGAAGAAAGAGAGACAGTGTACAGCAGCAATGATAGAGTGGAAAGTGGAAGAAGAATGGCAGCGAGTGCGAATATGGGGTGAGGACGTCCGCCCCTCTCTTGAGCTCGGCCGGCGGGATGGAGGGAGGGCCAGAGAAGACAACGAGGGAAGACTGGACTAGTCTTGAGGGTGGGGCGTCAACAAGAAACCCAAGGGACGGGGAACGAAAGGCAAGGACACCCGTCAAAGTGACGATCGGCCTGATTCAGGTACCTTCAGACGTAGGTAGTGATATCTCGGGATATTGGTACCTCCGTCGCACTCGTCGTTCCTTCACTGAAGCAGTAGCGGCGGCGTCGGCGTCGGCGGTGACAGGGCAGGTGGACAGCAGACAAAGAGAAGGGATGGGAGATGGAACTATGGATGACTGGTCCGGTGGTAGGGTCTAGTATCACTATCTACTCTTTAGGTAGAGAGAGAGAGACCTCTTCGTTCTCTCACAATTAAAAAGGTATGCCGTGTTCACCCGGAAGGGCAGACCAATGCGGGGCACCTGACCCCGGCGGGGCACAATTGGGAGGGGTGGGAAAAAGAAGAGGGAGGGATAGAGGGAGAGGGGGAGGGAGAGAAGGCAAAAGAGAGCAATAGAGAAGCTCAAGGTTCAGTAAATCCAAAGAGACGCGGTAATGGGGGAACGCGCTTCACTCATTAGATGCCAGAATAGGTAGGGTCAACGTCAAGTTACGTCGAAAAAAAGGAGTGGGGAGCTCTGGAGAGCTGCCTCCGGTCCAATCACCGCCCGGAATGTGCCCACGTTCCCTCTATCGCCGAACGACAACGCTTCAATTCGCGGGCTTCATGGCCAACGTGTTCTACAAAAAGTACACTAACAATGAACTGACTCGTTACTGCTTGCTTGGTTCTGAGTTAGACAAAAGTACACCTGGACTTCTTCGGGGATCATTGTTTTGAAGGACGGACAGCCGGGCTCGAAGTAAGGTATCCCAATGGTACTCCTACTTAGATAGTACAACTCCGGACTTATCTACTTAGTACTTACCGCAGGCGTCTTTCTTCATCCCATTCCAGTCTTGGCGGTGCCACCCCTGCGTTGTCCCACATGCAGCCAATCACTTCTGCTGCCGAGACATGCAGGATATACTTTGCTTAGTACTCTTGTGCATCAAAGGGCAATTGTCCGATCCTATTCTACTCTTCACCTTTTACTCTTTAGATACATGTTTGCAATGTGCGGCACCTTCAAGCCACAAGGCTTGATCTACCCAGGTCATTATATCTCCTGTTCATGGAAACAGAAGGCAGGAAGGAATCAATGGCTAATTGCATTATCGTACTTCCTTCTCAGGCTCTTACGTTGACCCATCAATCCCTCCTCCCCATCATGTCTGCTGGTCATGATCTACAGGGGACTCGGTTGATCTGAACTGTACTACGTCCTCAGCCCTACGTAAAGCACTAGCAGGTTCGCAATACCAATTGTATCACTGAAAAGTTAGCATGTCCGTGCGGGCTCTTTCATCCCCTGTGCCGGGGCAGACGTGACATTCTGAGTGTCAATGGACCAGGTTTCACTACGGTCTACTTCTTCGGGTCACTTATGCTTGGTGCCTTTCCGAGTTTTACGGACTCTACGGATTCAGGAACAAAAAAGTTCACAATATGTATTCCTTAACCACACTACCCTCCCCATGAACAGTCCACAATGCCATTGCATCCAAATGTACAGGTGAGATGCACGCACTGCGGTGGCCTTGACCCACAATATATCCAGACCCGAGCAAGACACGTTTAGACAAAATCGAGGCAAACAGAAAATAGAAAAGGGGATAAGGAGGCGGGTAGAAAAAAATAACAAGATAGGAAGCCCTGGTTGCCTTGTGTGAAGGTCAGGCTTCTATAGAATCATAAATGTACAATCACAAGGCCGAGTTAAACAAAAATGAGAAAATGAGAAAAACAGGAGGGATATATCCATATACCAGAATAACGAGGGCACCGGTTGAAACAAGAAAACAAGACAATTGAAACGAAGGAGGTATTTTGAGGTCTGGGAAGGCCACAAAAGAAACAGTGAGCGAGAGATTTGAAGAACAAGAGATTCATGATGCTGCACCTTGAACGTTATCCGAACAGTTCGGCGGCAAAGCTATCCCAATTTTCCAGGCGGGGGGTTGGCGTTGTAGGCATGTTTCGTTCTATGCCATAGGTCTCGTGACCCCAATAAGAAATATAAAGACAGCCAATTGAAGGCGCTAGGGGCTCGTTAGAAAGCACCCATCGACCGCCACAATGTCTGTTGCATCCGGGCGTCCAGCTTGCAATGTCCACGTATTAATGCGGCGAGGATAGAGAAAGCAGAGGCATCTCAGAAATTCTGCGCGATACCAGCATTCCCTTGTCTAGGAAACACGGCAGGATTCTCAATGCGTGTATTGCGTCGTGCCTGAACATCGCGAATGACAGGCGGAGCTCCGCCATACGGGCCGTCACCATATGCACCATATTGCGGTTGCATATCATTATAGTACGGGTTATCGTCGTAGAAACCTCCCGAGGGGTGAGTGGCAGACATGTGACTCTCTTCGGACGCTTCGGAATGATTGGCTGCAGAGTAGGCCGACGAGGCGTTCGATGGACCACGGTGGATATCGACATTTCGACTGTTCGCCGCGGCTGCTGGAGCAGCACCCAAGACTCCAATGGGTTCAGTCTCTCCCAGTGTACCTTGCCCTTCGGAGTACTGAATTGTCCCATCGCTTGGGGTCGCTGCATGGTGATAACCAGGCGCGCTTCCAGCCTCGGACATCGCCAGGCCGACTCCGGCGCTGCTTGATAGGTTCGTGGATGCCTTGCGACCAGCAGATGTCGTTCCCCAGCCACGGTAGCCTGAAGAAGTGTTATCGTCCTTGGGTTCAAAGGCTCCACCACCCATGATAGGAGGCAGGGATGGATCGTTATTCGGATTGAACCCGTATTCCTCCACTTCTTTCCTCCGTTCTTCTTCGGCCGCCTTCTTCGCTTTCCACTTTCTCCAGAAGTACAAGGCTGCAAGGATGATTATGGCCACTGAAGCCACTGGCACAACAACCGCAACCGCAATGGTGCCGCCTGCCGAAAGGCCTGAGCTGCCACCTCCACTTCCACCCGTCGACGATGCTGCTGCTGCCGACCCGCTGCCCGTGGCAGTCACGCCATTTCCTACAGTACCAGCAGTTCCCGTTGGGAGAGTTGTGTCGGTGGATGTTATCGTCAGGGTTTCCACGCCGTTCGATCCATTGCTTGGTGTCGTAGTAACCACTTCGGTGACAACTGGAGTCGCGGTAGTGTGGGAAGTAGCAGAAGTAGTGGTTGAGGGAGCCTCAGTGGTACTAGTCGACGAAGTGGAAGTGCTACTTGTCGATGGTATGGATATTGTTGTCGCAGAAGACGTTGATTCAGAGGTCGACGACGTTGATGTTGTAGAGGGTGTGGATACGGATGTCGTTGGTTCCGCGGAAGTTTCTTGCGATGTTGTCGCCTCGGACGTAGGAGTTGCTTCCGTTGTCGATTGGGATGTGGTTTCCGCTTGTGTCTCGGTGGGTGTAGTAGTAGCTGCACCAGCGGCGTTTGCCGATGTTGCTGCCGCTGCTCCTGCAGCCGCCGCAGCCGCTCCTGTGAGCAAGTTCAGTATATCGCAGGCGCATAGTTCATGATGGATAGCAGAGAACAGAAATGGGCTCTCCAAGGCAGGGGGTCGTAGTGGGGTAGCACCATACCAGAAGACATCTTTAAGACGGGAATTAAATCCAGATGGATAAGGGTCCAAGTGGTATCAGTCAAGTAGGATCAACTGGGATTTGAGGATTCCACAAGTCCAGCTGTCAATGACTGATCCACGAAAAGGGACAGGACGTATTCAGCCGAGAAGTTACCGGTCGTACACGTTTGAGCGAAGTTTCGCAAAAGCACGAGTCTGTGTTAAGATTGCGTTGGAAGGATCGGAAGGCGATCGAAAGAGCGAAAAGATATTGCGATAGCGAAAGAACGAATATATGTAAGAATATAGGGTACGACCGTATACCCAATAGGAATTAAAAAAGAATTGCTTCACTGTAGAATAAGAGTGTAGCGCCCGTAAAAGTGGTGAAGCTGATAATGGACTGCCTAGCGGATGGTCAGGGGATAAGCACGGTCGCCTCAGACCAACGCGGGCAGAAAAGAAGAAAACAACAAATTATGGAATTTAAAAAAAGGGTTCTCGGGAAAGGAAATTTTTAGGAGGAGGGACTGCACAGTGGCAACTCACCGGAATTAAACTGGATGCCATGAGACAGCAGACCCGGATCTCATATTAGATAGAGCGCAGAAATAACACACTCATTGGGGACAGATCCATCTGAGGGGGGTGGGTGTGGGAGGAGTTGAGGGAAAAGACTCCAACTCTGAGAGAATGAACGAACGAACGGAAGGGAAAAGAGCGAGTGAGCGAGTGAGAGAGTGACGGAACGAATGGATTCAACGAGCGGGAGAGCGGAGAAGTATGGGCGAATTGCGGCCAGAAGCAAGCCTCTGCAACCGGCTCAGTTGCTCCTGAGGATGACTTTGACTTAGTCTTGTCTTGGTTTTTGATTCTTCCTGGTAATTATTCTTAGTACCAGGTACGAGTACGGAGCAGCGACTAGGTACAAAAGTCCTACGTACGTACAACCAGTGAGTGGTATGTAATGGTACCAGTTACACTTGGCCAACCCAAATTGCTGCGATCGGCATCCGCCGGAGTCAGCAAGCGAAGTGTCCTTCATCACATTCTCTCTCTCTCTCCCTCGAAATCGATTGACACCAGAACAATGAAGTAGTATCTGGAGTGTCAAGGGTTCATCTACTATCCTTATGGAGCTAAAATCATACTCCATACCCCGTTCTCCAATGTCCAATGTCCATGACCACCATGACACGCCCTGAGATTGAACTACTTATTCTTAGCAACAGTTAGACCCGGTTCCATGGGGGGCAACAAAACTTGATGACCCCCAAAGCGGCCCACCGGGAGAAGAGGAAGAATCGCTGATTGCAGATTGAGTGCCGCCTTCCGTGGGTCTCAATCTCCCACAGTCGAGCAGCCTCAAGCCCGGATTGGTGGTGCCGGACTTCATTCTTACCGCTAACCAAGCAGGAGCCACTATCGGTAACTCTCAGGTACCAAGTGTCTTGGAAAAAAAAAAAAAAAAAAAAAAAAAAAAACCAATGCTATGCCACATGTTTACTACTAGTATATATCTATTAACCCCCTGAACGGTGGTGCAGCATTGATCAATCTACCTGATATACAGGCAGTAATTTCCTTGATATCAACATATTATCTCCAAGATAAACCAAGTATCTGTACATGCCTTGAGATATTTCTGGCAAGATAATCAATCAAATATGTTTACCAACTCAAAAGTATGTCATCAGTGGCTTCCGCGAATGCCGCATCTCTCTCCACTCTAAAAATCGCCCGAGCGGGTAAGAGCGACTCGGACGGTCGCGTCTACCATCGACTGTGCACCTCCTCATTCAAGGCATGAGGATCCATATTTGACACTTCAAACTCCAAATAAGGAAAGAGTAAAATCGAAGAATCTCATTATCAAGGCTAGCTACACTGCAACGCCATTATCTACTCACCTGTGTCATAGCCATGTTGACTACTTAGATGAAGCCTCGGTCGGCCGCTTCCGGCTGTCATTCTTCCCTACCTGCCTACTGTCCACTACTCAGGAGTATTGTCTCCCGAGGTTGCATCTGACAATAAGGCGAGACAGACACAAGCTGGATAGGTCAAACAATTGGGTCTCTACCACTTACTTTTAGGCCTCCCAACAAGGCGTTGAATACTACGCCATGAACAGTAAAACACATCATGAAGCTGCAAACTTCGTTGGGCGAATATCTGTCTCGGAATTTTTCCAATGCACCTTGTATCCGAGAATACTACCTACTATTTGTGCAAGAATCTGTAACAACACCCGGTCGGTCAGGCCTCTTATCGTTCGATGACGCAAGACCGCGTGTCATCCTTGCACTGTTGCGGATATGCATGGCACCTTTACTTTCGAAGCCACGTACTTGGGCCTACGACGCACACTTTCACCGGAATCGGCGAAAACAAAAAAGTAGCACATTCTTTTTCTTTCTAATAAAAAGAAGGCATTTTGGGGGCACAAGCATCGTCGGATATAGACATCGACGATCCGCCTCCAAAAAAAGGAATCATATTTGCAGGTTGAAGGTTATAGAGAAACATGGCTGATCAGACCGAGCGCCTAGAGGAAGCAGAGACGAACAAAAGGCCCCTTGTATGTATTCACGCCACTGAACATCGGGAAGATTTCCGAAATCGAACCCGGTTCCTCAAAAGAAGTACCGCTAGGACAGAATATATAATGGACAAGAATAGATCGTGATAAGGTATGTAAACACCAGATGGCTGTGGCAGAGGGGGAAATCGTTACGGCTGTGAAGAAAGAACGAAACAGAAATGCCGGTATTTACTGCCGCATATCCCATTTAGGACGGAGGTTCGACATCAAGTCATCCTTGGTACCTACAGTGTCCGCGGGCAGACGGCTGACACGATACGCACCAGTGCGGATGTTGTGCAAATGGGTCGAGGAAATCCCAGTGCCGTTGCTGCGAATACTACCAGCATCGCTCGCAGTATCATTCTTGAAGCGAGGCGGAGGTGCAAAATCCAATGTGTCGTAAGCGCCCGACTTGCGCAAGGCGTGTCTGAAACTTGGTTAATATTGTACTCAATGCAAATGGAGAGCATATGACTTACGCGCTAGGCAAGGCTGAAAGGTCATCGAAAGCTGAAACAAGCGGCGAATGGACCGGCACCGCCGGGCTAAATGGTTGCAGGCCGCCCAAGGGCGTTCCTGGTCGGCCCTCCTTTTGATCCTTGAAGTGGTTGGAGGGGGCATACTCGATGGCAGACATGATAGAGTCATCATTCAGCATATGGGGTGTGGGGAGGATCTGAAGCGGCGATGGCGGGGGTATCGGCTTGCGCGGCTTGGGAGGTCCCGGCATACGGTTAGAGGCCGAGGAGAATGCACGGGGACCGGGAGATTGAAAGCCGCTGCCTCCGTCCGAGCCCCTGGCCATATGCCGAGCTGCCCCTTGGAAGCGTGGAGGTGCGCGAGGTGGAGGAGTCATGGCACGACGAGTCACTGGTTCAGCGAATGGCGCCGGCACCGCACCGAACTGATCACCCATCGTAGGGTCGTACGCATAGGCCTCTTCACCATAGTAATCAGGCACATAGTCGTGGTACATTGTTTCCCGGCCGTTTTTGTTCTCATCGAAGTACTCCTTGTAGAAGGACCTGATACGGTTGGCACGTTGCTCGGGGTCCTCAGACGGGTCCTCTGGCGGCAGAGGGCGAAGGCCGAAAGTCATCCGTCGCGTGTCACGACGGCTCGCATCAAGGCCTGTGTTTTGACCCCGAGGTGGCTCTTCAGCAAGAAAAGCAGGGACGTCGGGGTGCTGAGGACCATCTTCGTAGCTTGTGGCGCTCGTCACATCTTGCACATTGACGGCCGGGATGGTAGACCTCCGCGCATCACCGTAATCGCTAGCTGCATCACTCACAGGGAGCGAGATCCTGGGTGTTGACATCGATGCAGTTTGCACAGGAGCCGGCACCGAATCCACGTCGTGGCCCAGACCGTGGTCACTGGGAAGTGTCATATCTGCATACTGTGGCATATGCGATAGGCGCTTCTGCTTGGCACTGGTCTCAGTAACTGCGTGATCTTCAGCGAATCCGGCTTCGTTGCTTGTCGTGTGCGGCTCGCTAATGGCCATTCCGGGAACATGTACAGGACTCGGGCTTCTGGGCAGATCCAGTTGGAACCCATGATCGCGTTCATGATCAGAGCTCGCTGGGCTCTCAGCATTACGGTCACCAAACTGAGTATTGTAAAGTGGCGGCGACGAGCGCGACATTCGTTGGGCGTTCCGCAGAAGGCCCTGGTTCATATCGTCTCCCAGGGCGGCCCGTCTGGTTGAACCTGTGAAGCTTGCCGCGTCGTCGTGGGGGCCTCTCGAGTGCGACCTGAGCGATGAATTGTCACCAAGGAAGGACCCGACGTGTCGATACTTATCATCGTCACCATCACCGATGGATCTGGACATAGACGCCAGGGATTCCCTCGAGTTGTGCAGCCCGGGAGGAAGCAGATAGGGGCTAGGTCCAATATCCAACGATATGCCCTTGTTGTGGGCCGCATTGCGATCAGCTTTCTCTGCTTGTTGCATAGGCACGGCTCCGTTAGTGGGCGCCAAATCCAGGCCGAAGTCGAGGGATTTGTGTTTGTCGTTTGCATCTTCGTTACGGAGCTTCTTCACGTTTCTGCGGTGCAAGTAGAGTAGAATGCCAATAGCAATCACAATAGGAACCCTAGGTGCTCATCAGTCATGGCCCTAAACCATTGGAACAGAACTATAACTACGGGTGCCGTAAAGTGGAGGGCAAAGGTAGGTATTTTGAAGGGAGGAGGGAACGCAATTGAACGTACACTGCTCCTAAAACAACAGGCAAGGTCGTAGTGGTAAGCGTGCTTGTCGGTTTAGTACCACTGGACGCAGAGGATGAGGTAGCCGAAGAAGAATCAGTAGACGGCAGAGGCTCTCTTCTTGCCAACGTCGGAGTTTCGCGCATTGCTAACAATGGCAGCCGGTCACGAGGCACAAGGCTTGGGCGACGTGCCATCGAGCGACCTTGCAATTGTGTGCCATGGAGAGCCTGATGATGGTGGTGGTGATTGTGCATGATCGACCGAGTTCTTCAGGGAGGTAATCCGAACTCTCCGTGAGCCCGGAGGACTTCCAGATTCTTCCAGATTACTTCGACAATGGGGTAGTTGCAGGGCCACAGTAGTTCTTTGTTCTGATGTGAATATTTCCCAGGTGTCGATATCCGTAAAGCATGAAGTCGAGTGGCGGTATTTATGACGAGCTGCAATTGAGGAGGTGCCTATGATGCGAAGATCTATCTCACTGGGGGGAGGGCAAGTGGGCACGCTCAACAACGGTGGTAATGGCGGACAAGAAGCGAAGGTACAAGGACGGATTTGGGTCCAGCAAGGAATGGACGGGAGCGAGAAAGGCTCCCTGAAATGAACGACTGTACGAACCCCGAGATGTCGAGGCCCGAGGAGGGAGGGAAAGAACGACGTGTAACAGGTTAAAAAAGGAAAGGAAAGGAGTAGCAAGAAGAGGAGGCCGACCGAACTCAATAGGGAGAGGGAGAAAAGAGGGAAAATGAAGTGAGCCGGCAGGGCGAAAGCCCAGAGGAGGGCGTAAGCAAGCAGCAGCACCCAGGGCTACTACCTTGGGCTAGTCTGCCTAAGCGGTCTAGATGGCCCGTTTCATTTCCATTCATTTGTTTGTCTAACCGGTTGTGGGGAGGAGAGGCAAAGCTTGGTGGCAGATTGGGGGGGTGGAAGTTGAGCAGTGGTTTGAACTAGACTAAACTAGCTGGTTTAGTTAGTTGGAATGAGTATCCATCCGTCGTACCATACTGCGGGAGGGGAAACACCGAACACATGCCCCGTATTCGCAAAGTATTGTATGGTCATCTATTCGAGGAGGAGGTACTACTATCTATCTGAGGATTTATCTATCTACGTATTCTGATAAGACAGGCTGCTGCTACTCGCTAGCAAAGTAAACTACTTATTAGCTACTTTAAGTAGTAGTATGATTGTTGTTGCACACAGTATCTTCCCCAGAAGAATGCTTGATAAACAACATAATTCCTATTTAATAGAGCTTGGGCCAATAACTTTGGCCAACCCACATAACTTCTACACCGTGAGTACATTGCAATTAATACTGAGGTCAAGAACAGGAATAGAACTACAAAGGAGCTGGCTCAAGTATGGACCAAAAAGTCGGAGTTTAGGTAGTAAGGTACACTTCCTCTTCTGTCACGCCATGGTTTTGCCGCCCCCTGAGTTGGCTGAAGATCGGAATACATATTACCGAGTGTGAAGTAGATACCGGTATCACATCCGTATGGAACACTAGTTCACTAGCAGTAATGGTGAACGGACTCCATCCAACAGTCTGGGCAAGCTGATTCCTCTTTTGTGACTTTCCTTACTTTGCAAGTGTTTCAGCTTCCTCGTGGGCTTTTTCTGGCAGATGTTCTAAGTACCCTGGCGACCCTCTCAATCCACTGTCTTTTCATCCCCTCCAGGTCCGGCTCTGTTTACTTTTCTCTACTTTAAGACCGAGCAAGTAAGGTGGCCGCAATCCCCTGAGTCGAGAAAGCAAAAAACCAAGGCACAAGTGGGGCGCCTAGTCTCTCCTTTTCAGACTAGCGCCAGGAACCCGCTCAGTCCTGACCAATAATTGAAAGGGGACTCCGCCCCTTGGGAGATTACCTCTCGGACATTCTCCACCTGCCATACAAAGCTGAGCCTGTCGACTTGCTCGATTATTATCTGACATTTACCCCTTGGGAAGTCTGGACAGGTGCTAAACCTTCTCGAATGATCCTACCGGAGTAGATTGGCACTGTGAAAGTTTGTTGGTTGCCTACGGAGCACAACTAGTGAAGAAGTAGTTGACGTACATCCACGATAACAGTTGGTTTATTATTAGCATCAGTTGGCTGGCTCAGTTACTCGATTGTTCAGTTGGCTTGGCCCGGGTGTCCTTCCTGGCATGTAGTACCAAATACCTACGAAGCATTACTGTCCTGCACTGATACTATCTATCTCTTCTATCCACAACTAGTGAACCTCCAACAAACAATCCAGCAATCAGTGACAAATCTGTTTGCAATGTGATAAAGTATGGGGTAGCCTCTGGGAACTATGATATTTCCCCGCCCTTCCGATCTTACTACGGAGACTACGCAGAGTATAGAAAAGAAAACCAGATTAATCAATTGGCCGGTTATTTGGCTAAGCCATCTAGCCGAACCACAGCCTCGAGCTGATCTACCGTGGCCTGAGGCCCAAAAGTATTTTGAGGCGACCTTGGTTATAGATATCCTAAAACTGCAGAGTCCAGAAAGCACATTCCTCATGGTAGATTTATGAAAATAACAAAATCCCTGGTCTGATAGAAAATGCCCACTCACCTGCGAGCGTCTCGTCATTCACATCTCCTATGTAGCTGGGGCTGAGACATGAATACAGCAAAGGTCCCTTGATTCTGGGATTATGGTTCGTTATGGAAACCTGAACGAACTTAGAAAGGATACATCAATCGCAAGGAACACCACAATAATATGCATTATGTCGCCCCCTAGGATGAAGATCAAGGCTTGCATACTTTCCACCAAGTAGGCTCATGTAATCCATTGGATCGTTGGCTGGCTATATCACCATGCCGTGTAGCAATAGTATTCTGCTAATTAATATGTGGTACTTGGTTAATAGTTATAATTAAAAGGTTCTTTATATATATATATATATATATATGTTGCGAGTATACTACCAGCAATAGCTCAATACTAGAGTAACTTGCATTATATCAGCACATCCACATCTCAAGCAACCAACTTTCAGTTGGCACTTGCTCTCATGATGTACATCGGCCATGATGATGAGGTGGGAGGACTAAATCTACCTTTAAGTTCGCAGCTCCGTTGCTTGTGACCTTGCCCTACTGACTGTATCACTCCAGGTATACCACTTGACTTAACAGGTAATGGGCATCATACAGCTATAGAAGAACATGTGTAGAACCTGTCAGGCCCGAAGTCCGAAAGATCTCTAGGCCGTTTTACCTTTGAATCGGCACTTTGTAAAGGCAGTTTCCCTTGTGATTGATCTATTCATGCAAAGTTCCATAGCCGTAAGCCTAAGTAGCAGTTGCGTGCTTTTCACGAAAAAGGAGGGGGAGGAAGAAGAAGTCCAAGAAGATTACCTTAAGCATGTACTTGGAGGTAGGTATCCGGTATCCCGGATTTGTCGTATACAACGCGGGTAGTATGAAGTGTGATCTACGTAGGACGTATTGCTACCCGTTATGAATTAATTTCTATTTTTGTTCTTCCTAGGGTACTCTAGCTACTACTGAGAGCTAGTAACTCTTTTCGGAAGAGAAACGGTGCATGCAATGTTACCCAGCTTACGCTCTTTTCCTCCAGGTTAGCGAAGACTAAGTTCGAATCAATATAAATATATATGTTGTTGAAACCTATGGTTGCTATAGCTGGCAATGCCATATACTAGTAAAATCATGTCACAATACAAGAAGACATTGTATCACGAGCAGTACATTGATTGGATGTATGTCACCGATACTGTTTAAACTCACTTTCACACCAGGTCCATTTGGTCGCCACTTTCGTTCTCAGATCGGTGGATAGCCCATCATGTTCTTGATGGAATGACCACAAATTTCTTACTTTGATCTCCTCTTTTTATTTTCCCCCGCGTAACCACTAAAATCCATACACTTCCTGATGGCCAGGGTCAAGCATGTGTTAAAGGGTGAATTCGGAGTAGAAATGGACATTTACATGGTTGTAGGAAGATTTTGGCTCACTGGGCTCATTTCATTAGGATTGTAATAGCCCGTTCTTCGTTATTTTGCAATATTGGCTATTGAGAAATCGCCATATCTTTCTTTTGTTTCTCCAGACAGGTACATTATGACCCAGATTCTTATATCCATACACCCGTGAAAAGTAAGATCAAACGAAGAAAAGGAAGCTGGCAGAGGCAAAACAGGCAATGGAAGACTGTACGGGACCTTCGTAATCCACTTCCGAAAATATCACGTACAGAGAACAGAAGATGAGAAAAGAAAGAAAAAAGGAGACTAAAAAGGAGACTTTATGGAAAAGGTTGAGAGAGAAAAAGAAAAGCCCCAATAGAAAGAAATATTCGCACAAGAACCGCCCAAGTACACAACACAAACCCTGAATGGGAAATACCAAACATCTGAATTGTACAATGTGATATCCATCCGAAAACAGAAAGTTTTATCGAAAATTCCTTCCCTGACAGAGGGAGGGGAGAAGAGGAAATTAGCGGTAGCGTAGAGGTGAAGCATGTCCAAGTCAATTGTTTTCTTTCGCGTTAATTCATATGCTCAAGAAATCATCAGACTTTTCAAAAAAAGGAAGATACAGTCGGAGAATAGAAAAGGCGTCAAGTGATAACATCATGTAATGTAAGGAAGTGGCGTGGCTCATTTGCCGTGAGTTTCGAGACATGCATTATGATGGGAAGACTGGTCGAAAATGCGACGGAATGGCGGGTCTGAAAGATGTATGGTGTCTCTAGGCTCCGCCGTAACACCTTCGGCTTTGCGGATTACTTCTTTTAAAGCGCGCGTGACAACGCCAGCTCGAACGACCAAGTCTCGGAGAGATTGTGTATCAAAAGGAAGTTTTCTGGGACGAGGAGGATGTGATTCCGCAAAAGCGGAGTCAACCGAGCTGCGTTGTCGATAGATCAGATCCAACACAGAGTTCGGTTTGGTAGTGACATCGGGACTAGGAGAGGTAGTAGGGCGGGAATTGGAGTGCTCTGAGAGCGATAATCCCCATGATCCATCGCTGACCCTTTTCCAAGGATCATTGGTATTGGATGAATCGCCTTCCGAGTCGTCAAAACTGAACGTCAGCGACGAAGGGGATCCAGGAGGAGAGTTATTGTTCGAGTTATTATGATCATCATCATCAAGCGTGGCTAGGTTCACTATTCCTTCTGCCTCTTTCCAAAGCTCGCTTGATGGCCCGCGGACGATGTTTAGAAAGCTGCCCTGGTGTCGCAGACGCTTTAGCTCTTCAACCAGCAAGGTTAGTTCTTGGACCTGTCCGAACTGCCCATGAAGGCTTGCTTGGCGTTCCATGATGGCTTGAGGAACAATCATACCCCGCCGGGGGGTCGTTTTGCTTGGCTTCATAGACTCATTGGTTGTAGTCTCATCTGCATCCTCGAAATCGAAGTCACTGTCCCAGTCTTCGCTAACGCCTTTGCTCCCAAGGCCCCATGTACCGAATTTGCCTGAGGTCTGACGTTGTTCATTAATTGCCGGAGGGTCTCTCGTTACTGGAACACTTTGACTACGGAGATGCAATGTACTCGGAGCTTTTCGTCCTGGCGCGCGGCTGCCACGCACGTCAGGCGTATGCTTCCCATGCATGGTCCGTGGCCGCCCATCAGAGCCTGCTGCTTCACGGTCGCTTCTCGGCTGTTCTGACCAGTCGAAGATGTTCATTTTCGGACACGAGTCAAGCGCCTCGTGGTTGAGACTGCGAGAATCGTACCTGTGTGATTGCCTTGTCTCGCTTCTGAAACAATCGCCGCCATTACCCTTCAACGACAACATTGAAGATTGCACTTGTGTGAATGGGTTGGTAGTTTCACCGGGCAATGCCGCCACCAGACTGCGAGAATCTTCGTCGTCGGTCAAGTCAGACGGGAAAGATATATGGCTGTCACCTTCGTGCATATCCGATGCGCTGTCTGCGATATGGCCTGGCATAGTAATGGGCGTTGGCGTCGCATCTGCATCAGATTCACAATGGCAATTCCCAAGCGACTGTGAAGTAAGAGATTCGCGTTTTTCAAGTGCATGGCCATTAGAAGACTCTCCCTCCAAGGTATTCACGGGGAAGTCCTTATCAAAGATTGTCTCGATTCGAGGAGCATAGGAGCCCAAGCCACTGCTGGTGGTGAGATGGGTGCGGATGGAGTCAAAGGCAGTATCGCTCAAGAAATCTGTCTCATCCTCATCGCCAGATGTGAATATATGAGTATCATCGGAACCTATGACGGTTGATGCAGGGTCTGATGCAGCGATAGAATGGCGTTTTGGGCGCTGACGAAAAGTGCCTTGAGACCTAGTCAGTGTTACTGAGTCCAGGGTGAATGGACGTGATCCGATGTCCCGTAGATGAGCCATCTCTTGTTTGTAGTCCTGAAGATAAAGAGGATAGGCTCTGCGTCGCGGACCCATTAGTTCCGACATCAATGACGAAGTAGCGCCGTTTTGTGCAAAGGTCGGACGACGGAAGATGTTAGGGTCGGTGATGTTTCGTCTTCCATATGTGTGAGGTGGAATCACCTGTGTTCCTTCCGTCTTTGTCGACGCTGGAAGAGGCGTTGATACTGCCCTTCTTTTAGAATAAACTAGGGGAACGTTTTTGAAGTTTTCGCCTTCGGCGGCTCCAGTGTCGGTTGGAGGAGACTTAGGATCCGCATCTTGCAAAGAAGGCGAGGTTTGGGAATCGCTTTCCTCCGGCGGCAATGACAATTCTTTTTGTTGAGATGAATTCCCACTGGGCTCGAATGGGTTTCGAAACTGGACTGAAGGGGAAGGAGTAAATGCATCCAGGCCAGCTTCCGCCGTCGGTTGCTTCCCTTTGATAGATGTTGCCAAAAGGAGAGCCGGTGCAGTCTCCGCATTCGGTACGATCCGCCGCAGCCCTTGGTCTTTCGGTCTCGTTGCGGTTGAGAATCTGCGCGCCAGCCTTTCCGATAAACCCTCCGGGCTGACGTCTATGTATGGACGCCAGACATGATCATCCCCTATAGCAGCAATATCAGGTTTGCTTACCGGAGGGTTCAAGATCAGACTCGGTTCGAAATTAAGACTATGAGTAGCTTTATGTCCCAAGGTCTCAGACCGCTGATGACTCGTAGCAGGCCTGCGAAAACCGGTGGGGGTCAAAGGGGAGGATGGCGCGATCCCGGATAATGAATGAGAGTTGGCATGATGTGAAGGTGGCCGCTTGACTAGTTTGTTGGGCCTGCGTTGAAAAGAAGCGGGAGGGCTGGCCGGGCTACCGGGTGTGTTTGATGAAGGGGAAACGGGGGTCTGGCATGAAGCGCGTTTCTCCGGCTGAAATGACAGGCGTCGCACCCAGGAAGACGAGGGTCGTCGTATGTGCGCAGCGAGTGAAATATTCTCGAAGACTGGCTTTGGCGGGCCAGTGAAGGTCTGTCCGCGACGTCGCAGTCGTACACCTGCAAACGATGATTTCCTGCGCGACTTCTCCTCTCCCGGCTTACTCGTATCAAACGCACCATCTTCTGACCCCCGAAAGAATTCTGCGGTCAGAGGAGATTGTGCTGTCACTGATGGAAAGGGACTTGTGGGGACATGGTTTGCATTTGACAAGGATACGGTATCGTCTGTCGCTGTCGCGCATTGATCATGCAGCGGGAGGGTCTTTTTCCGGAATCGGCCTGGTCTGGAGGAGCTTCGATCTACGCGACCGAAGGCGAAGCCAGTTGGTGCAATACCGACGGTGCTAATTGCACAGAGCTGATCGAAAAGGAAGAAAGAAAAAGCCAGTTAGCCGCGACTACTTGTAAACATAAAGGACGCGAAATCTGAGTCAAGCGCTTTGCTTCTCCCCATTTGCGCGAGGCAGAGAGCCTGTAGCCGCAGCAAAGTGGACAGCCAAACGAATGCGATCCAAAGGAGATCTGACCGGACACAGAGCAGAACTCACAGTTGATACATGCTCCATTCTCAGAGGGCGCCGAGAACAGTGTCAAGCACCATAAACCTCAGATTAGCCACATCGATATCACATGTAGTTGACGACCCATCTGCATTATCTTGCACGAGGAGGATCAGCTAGCCCGACACATCTAGATAAACACCATCTCAAAAGAAGACAGGTGGAATCAGAGCGCGATCTAGCCTTGCGGTGGTGAAAGACAAAGCCACAGTGGCAGTATAGCAGCAGTATTAATTATTTGTAAAGACAATCCCAGCGTGCGATCAGTGCGACCTTAGGGTGGGTGAGGGGAAAGGGTGTCGGAGCCAGCTAGGAGGAAGCTAAAGGAATGGGGGAATCGTCGAAAAGGAATGTAATCAAGGAATGAGGGACTAAAGAGAAAGACTGAGCGACTAGAGCTTTGGCCCGCGCAAAGTCTCAGCAGTTTAACTGTCCTAAAGTCAACGGAGAGAAGAAGGAAAAATAAAAAATAAAGAAATCAGACAGCAGAAGGAAAAAACGAAGAAGCAGTAGCAGTAGTAGAGTAGCAGCGGCGGCAGCGGCAGCAGCAGCAATAGTAGCAGCAGCAGCAATAGCAACATGCGAAAGAGAGAGGTAATAATAACAGACCAAGGTCATCGATCAACAAAAGCCCCAGTGGGACGCGGTCACTGGCTTTGCTACCCACGGGCGATGTTCTTCTGGTTCTAGTCTAAACTCAACCACTGGGAAAGGAATGGATCACGCTAGGAGTTCCACCCCCAGCACACCCACGACCGCAAGGTAAGTCCCAATAAATTGTGGCTAGAGTCAGGGAAGCGGGAAGAGCACAAATTGGAAGGGTAAACGAAGGAGCATAGAAAAGCAGGAAAAGTAAAATATCATTTAAAATTGTGCTTTCTTTTCTTTCCTTCAGTATTAGAATAGAAAACCGGTACGAAGATTAAAATCCCTCCACCACAAAAGCCGTTAAATTTTCACACCTCATTTATCTGGTATGCTACGCAAGAACTTCCACACACCTGTTTGGACCACACAGCATAGACAAGGCAAGTGCAGCCACCATGATGGGATTTTGGAGCTGCTGTTGTTCAAGGGTTTGCTACTCAGTATTATAAGGCTAGTGATCAGTATGAGACCAAATATCTAGTACGTAGAGCTTTTCTGACAGCCTGGAGTTTAAAGGCACCAACTCACAGGTGGACAGCGATAGCTACCAAGGAAACCTGAAACGCCTTCTAATGCAGAATAAGGAGGAACACGAGGGTATTTATGTAAGTCATTGCTCATGTACTCCATCCATGTAGTATGCAGGTATTATGTAGGAGGGAATTTACTGACGTGGTGGACTACTGAGCCAAAGGAATAGACTGGTGTGTTGTTTAAGCTGAAATCCAATCATGCACATAACCTGGGGAATGAAACACTTACCTTGTTCTAGGTAGAGTGATCAGACAAATAAGTCTATGATTCTACTCCCTAACTAACTAATTACCGTAGTAGTTAGTATCTTTCGTCTTCAGCTGCTTACTGTCCACAGTCCACACACAGAAACACACTACACTACTAATGGTGTTCGGAGTAGTCCGACCGTCCACTACTACTATCTACCCATCGGGCGGTGTATTTGGGTAATCATGGCGAGCCGCGATCCTTGCACCTCGGCGGCTGCAGCTGGGCCACTAGCGT